ATTTTCCCATACAAACAGCGTGTGTTTCTAGTGATAACTGGCCTCAAAGTCTAAAGCATAATCTTGCAGCCAATGGAAATCACTTCGAATAATCCTTATATATTTTTAATGTTTTTTATATTAATGTTGAAACTAACACCTATTACAGTAATAAACGATATATGCAATATAAAAAAGTAATAGATACATACCAACTACACAACTACAATCCTTCTAGTAGTCACCGAAAACCAAGATAAATCCTTCATTTTATTTCTTATCCTTATAATCCGACTATTAAAATGAGTAAGAGCGAGTCTGTGTGTTTCTTATCTCTTCGCGAACAATCATTATGAAGAACACTTTAAATCCCGGCCATACCTCCAAAGACACGAATATAAACTATAGTATAATATACAAAATGGAAATAGAAATAAACCTCGGATCGATTGGATACTCTGTCCACATTAGTCCAAAGCTAAAATAAGGATATCCAGTCATTAGTGAAAATTAGGGCGTACGGCGGCGCCACGAGCGGGGCGCATCACGGCCGGCAAGGGGACACATTTTAAAATTTATCACAGCCGTGTCGGAATTAGGGTTGCAGTGTAATAACATTTTGTTTACTTGTTGAATTTAGCATGTTTTATTTTATATTGTTTAAGATTTCCTTATGAATATTGTATAGGACAAACCTTATTAATATTATAAATGTGATAATGTATCAGATAACAAAATCCGTTCAGTAGTTTTTGCTTGAAAGAGCAACAAATATCCATCCATACTCAAACTTTCGCGTTTATAATATTAATAAAACTAAACCTGTCGTCTCTGATAATTAAGAATTTTATTCTGCTTTATTTATACTTTATTATACACAAACAAAATGTAACATAATATCTTTCTTATCACTCTAATTATATAAAAATAACGAAATATCTCGGTACAAACATTTGTAATTTATCTAAATAAAAGTAAATTGATCTAAATTATTGGTATTGTAAGCACGGAAATCGTGGAAAATGGAAACGTAATAATTTATTGTCTTGATTGTTAAGCTGAGTATCTGTAGGGAAATTATTAACCCCGTGCATCCCCCTAAATACACATTACTTGAGTTGAAAATTAGGCCTCGATTGTGAGAAAGCGAGGAGCTGCACACATCGCTACCTCATTGTTGTTATGATATAATTTAAAATGTCATTGTTCCCGCCATCATGCGACAGCCATTATAAACTCGTAGGGGAGAAAGGGTGCGATGCAACACGTGTTCAAAAATTTACGGTAATCATAACCACATTTTGTATCAATATGAATTTATTATCAATGATGACGGGTATTTCCTTATACCGCTTTGACTTTTTGTATGTATTAAATAATAATTAAAGAGTACATAGAGTAGTGGAGTATATTTTTAGTTCAATATTAAAAGTAATAAAGGCATTTATTAAGCACCCGTTTTTATAAAAGTTTACTATGTAACTTAAAAAAAATATTAGATACATATTAAGTTCTAAGAACTGTATTTAAATGTAATGAAAAACTTTGACATTAAGCTAGTTAAAAGATATTTTCATTACAAATAACGGTTTGCCATTGTTTGAATCATTTACACAAACCAACATTCTATATCTTACTACATTTCTAAAATTTTATTGTGAATGAATATACAAAATTAACTCAAAACAGAATTTAAAGAATTTAGTACCTATTGTTGGCGGCTTGTCCACCATTCTTTTTGTAAATAATTATATTATATTTTTACCCTTTTTTATATGTCACTTTTGACAGTCTTGCGATCCTTGTTAAATTTATATATATATACATAGGTAGGTTCCTAAAAAAATATTCCTGTTTTTTTTATAACTGTGTAGTGATCCCGCTCCAATCACAGTACCTATTTTACTTTACCTTATCTATCTATCTATTAATTTTACATTTGTTTTATATAATTGCTAGCTTCCCGCCCCGGCTCCGAATGTGTACATGTATTATACATATAAACTTTTCTCTTGAATCACTCTATCTATTGCCAAAAATTGCATTAACATCCGTGTTTAAAAGATCTAAGCGAATAGACAATGTAAACAACTTCATTTCATATCATGAAAAGAACGAACAGAGAGCGTAAGCAACTTTATTTCATACTAGGTATGTAAAGATAACATAAAGAAGTTTGCTATCCATTACAAACAAACCACAGAATCCAACAAAAACACTTGAGAATTGTAAAAAGGACCGGGACTTTCGCCTCATATCTCTGCCCTTGTTAAAAAAAGGCAGATAATTGTGAACATCTGCACGTTACGAGGCCTATAATTCATCCCGCGACGCGACGGGCCTTCAAGTGGGAATAAATAACAGCTCCGCGGACGGCGAGGTTTAATTGGCTAGTAGGCAACCCTACAATATTGGCCGAGTTCACAAGTTGCACCTTGCATTAAAAATTAAGAAAAAATATTGCCTATATAAAAAAATTAAGTGGATTTTTATTCTATATTTCCTTCTAATGGTTATTGTGTCATCTTATAAGAGAACAATCTATACCCTTTTTATTATTTCTCAGAATCATTTGAACAGTAATTTAATCGAAATATATATTTTTGTAAATATTTTGATTAAATTGATGTTTTTTAATTCCTAACCTTTTTGTTAGGAATTTCGTAAATAGGTATAGATTGCGTGCAAATATAATAAATGCAGTTACGTAAGAACAGGTGGTCCGATTGTTAAAAATATTTTAGCAGTATTTTACAGTGACATGGTTAAAAATTTTACACGTATAGTCTAAATATACATAACTCAAAGGTGACTGACATAGTGATCTATCAACGCACAGCCCAAAACCACTGGACGGATCGGGCTGAAATTTGGCATGCAGGTAGATGTTATGACGTAGGCATTCGCTAAGAATTTTGATTAATTCTACACCCAAGGGGATAAAATAGGGGATGAAAGTTTATATGAAACTTCGTCAATTTTAAACCGATCGGGCTGAGACTTTGCTTGCATAAAGCTACTATAACGTAGTCATCCCCTAAGAAAGGATTTTGATAAATTCCACCCCTAAAGGGATAAATTAACGCGAGCGAAGCCGCGAGCAAGAGCTAGTCTTATATAAAAGTATTTTAATGTGAAAGCGGGCGATTTTACTTACCAAAATATACTATGGCAAGCGCATTGATATTTTAATTTTGAAATTTACTTTTCAGGTGCTTCCATATTCAATAATACGAATAAAAAAATATTATATACTTTAAATACTTTTTGTAAATCAGTAATTAATATGTTACCGCAATATATCTAAATACATATAGACATACAAATGCATGTATTGTATATAAGTATAGTTAAATGCAATAATTGACAGTTACGAGTACTATACACTGTACTCTGTCAATTATTGGATATTTATATTACCGAAACACATATTTTGGAAATTAAATTTATATACATCAAAATTCTTTAAAAAAAAATTACACCAGTACGTAAATATAACTCATTGTTCACTTTTATGTAGCGTCGTAAAACGATCAGCATAATTTTAGACCCACCTACCCTTTCCACAGATAACATAAAGAACCATGATCTGGATCTTATCTTGCAACCAGCCAGTTACATTAGTTAATTGGGTTGTAGAATAAAATCCAAGAGACAGATACATTTTAGGTTTAATTTAAAAAGAAGACATATTTTTTATTAATTATATATATTAATTTTTCTTATAGATAATATTTAATGTTTTATGTGTTACAAATACAATTACCACTGAATTCTTGCTTTTGTCATACGAAGTTCTATAAACTATATAATTTTATGATTGAATACGATTATTATCTGTTATTTCGATCCATATATGAAATATAAGTTGTAGACATTCTATCGCCCACAATAATAGTAACATTTAATAAGATCAGATATTAAGAACAACAGAAATAGATACTGATAAAAGAAAATGAGATTGTGTGGAATAGGAAGGAAACTGTACTAATGTGTGCTGTTAGCCATTCTATGTAGAGTCCGATATCAAAATTATTAAGTACTTTTAAACGTTTTAAATGTTTTTTTTTTTAACTTATATTTAAGCAAAAATATTGAACTTTTGTTCTTATAGTAGGTAAAAAATATTAACATAATAAAAGTTACATTCATAATCGGCTAGAATGTGTAAATGATTTTTGATTTTATTTTTAATCGAAATTTCTCATGTAAAGGGTTACGTGCAGTCTCTGAGACTATACAGCACTATTAAAAGAGATAGGCATGCCCTTTGTTTGCGTCAACAAATAAATAGCTTTCAACTGGGGGCAGTCTCCGCTGATATTACTATCTATTTCAGGCCACATTCTAACAATAAAGTGTACAATATAATTAACTTTTTAAATACTTACAGATAAATGTGGGTGATTATATAATAAGAAGTAAGTTCGAACCTACCACAGACTAGATGCGTTTACACTTTTTAAATAATAATAACGTACCTTCTCGACCGATACTTCGGATGGGGTAATCAGAGGCATTGGTGACATTAGATGTCGTAGTGAACGCAACACACGCACACGCAACGAACGAGACAGGGAGAAAACCTACTGCCGCATTTCGGATTAATTTAATATGTTATCGGTGTTTCCTTCACTACAGAATCAGTCAGAAATATGAATAGACAATTTTTTTGGAGACTGCGAGATTTGAAGCAAATTAAGATTGAAAACCACTAGCCTAGCGCTCTTTTAATAACAATTTGAGTAATAATTCGACTACGTTTTTTTACTTTGAAAAATGTATATATAGTCTGTTAAATTAAGGAAAATAGTAAGTATAAAAATATGTACATACATAAAAAAAGCGCAAAACAATCTACAAAATAACACTTAATATTGCCAACCATTTTATAATTGAACTATCGCGCGCGGTATGGCCATACGAAACCTGAACCTTACATTGTCCGTAAATATGCATTATTAGTAAGAAATTAATGTAATAGATAAGCAAAAATTAAGAAATAATCATGTGTGACATACCAGAAATATTAACGAAGCACAATGTCAACGTGGCTATGGCACAGCCGGAAGCGAGAGCGGTAGCGAGTAACACCGCTGAAGCGGACGCGCCGACGCCCGCTCCGCTCGCCGCGCCGCACACTATGAACACGTAAATAAACGAAGCCACACACTCTGCAACCACAGCCTTCCACAACGACAGAGTCCGCACCTCCAGTCTAGCAGGAACCCTACCCGGCAGTCCAGCGTCATTCGAATTTGCATCTCTACGTAAACACTCCAACTTTTCAAACAACGTCACTATATGCTGTTCCAGATTATCGTCCTGAATTGTAAACGTTTGCTCACCCATTTTGTTTTTTTTTTTTTAATTTATGCACTCATATTTTTTTGAGGCAAAGTGCGCGAATATACGTACGTCGCGTTCGGACTGAGGCGACAGTCGTGCCGCCTACGTAAGGCAAGAGTCGCGCTCGCAATGAGGCGGCGAGTGAAGTGAATGAACGAGATTGAATGGGCGGAGAGCGGGGGCGCCGCACATGTCCCGGGCTCCCGTCCCGACACTTGTTACACCCGCCCCCGGGACCTGCACTTTCAGCGAGGGTGTAATCAATTCACCAAGTGGCCAAAGCACCACAATTGCATTTAATTAGGCAAAGTTTATAGCTTTGTATTTTTTAGTATTCATCAAAAACATAGCTATTAATTCCAGTAACTTTTTATGATACGAGGGTTAACAGTTACGTACGTACGGCCAGCCTGATGGTAACCGGCCATTTTAGCCCAATTCTTGTCTCCTTACTCGGGTGTCGTGTACCTTTGCGAATTGCAGTCTTAGTCAAAGTAATTTCTAATCTCAATGCTATAACTCAGAACACAGCATGCCAGCTAGCTTCTTGGCGGCAAAATTAATAAGTGAACTGGAGATACCCATGCTGATAGGGTTGCCAGATTAGAATTCTAAAATATTGGTGAATAATTTTTAAAGTATTAGTATAAAATATTATATATATTTTAAAGTTATAACTTTATTATTATATACATATAACTAATATAAAGTAAGTATAAATAGGTATATAGATAGGTTCCATAGAGTAAACAAATATATACTTTATGATACGTACTTGCATACCTACCGTACCTATTTAAACATATATAACAAAGTATCATCTACTTCTTTATACTTTTTTTATTTTATGACACTGCGATTTCCTTTTTACTATACAAATTATTATTTTACACTCAAGTTGACGTCGCAGTACCTATATATTGCAATATATGTATAGACGATGAGGACAGTAATCAGTATGAAGATAGAGAGATAGATATAGATTAATAGTCTTTCACATTAAATACATATTACTGGAATTAAGAAAACGCTATTTGATTTGTTATTTTATTGTGTTAGTAATTCAAAATAACGTAACATTAATAATATATTAATATGACTCTGAAATCTTTGTCAACCCTATATGAAAATGACTTATTAAAAAACTGTCTCTGGTGAATACTAATATATATATATATACCTTCATATAACCATACTTGCTAACCCGCGCAACTTCGTCTGCATTTCATTTACTTGACATTATATTTCGCCCAATTTACATAATATCTTATTAAATTATAGACTACTAGCTGTGCCCGCGACTTCGTCCGCGTGTTATAGTGACCTTGACCAAATATTGAAAAAATATTTAATAATCTAACCCAAAAAGGAAAAGAAAAAAGGTTCGTTACAGTTTCAAAAATTACTATTTTCTATACAAACTTTCATCCCCTATTTTTTACCTCCTTAAGGGCAACAATTTTACAAACTTAGTCATATTTATTTATATTTAATGAACAACCTAAAAAAAAGTTTCAAGATTCCAGTTTTAAAAATGACGATATACAAACCCCTTACAACCCTTTCTTCGCATTAAAAAGTAGCCTATGTCCTTTCTCAGGATCTAGACTATCTGTGTACCAAATTTCATTTAAATCGGTTCAGTAGTTTTGGCGTGAAAGCGAGACAGACAGACAGAGTTACTTTCGCATATATAATATTAGTAAGGATGTATTATTGTGATGTGTAAACTACATTACTATAAAGTTTCATCAAAATTCATTCATTCATTTTTGCGTGAAAGACAAAATAACAAACATCCTTCCATACATACTTATAAACTTTCGCGTTTATAATATTAGTAAGATAGAAAAGGTTTTATCCATCCATTCATATTAAAATTATATGCAAAATTATCTCTGTTGTTGTAGTTGGGTTCTTTTACGTTGAGATGATATGTTATGACCAATAAATAATATCTTTATTATTTATTAATTATAATACAATTGTATTGCTTTTAATAATTTCTTACAATTACGTCAATCAGTAGGTGTTTGACATTAAAACTATATATTAAATTCGTATTCGATAAGGAGATCGGATATACACATAACATCTGTCTCTAAACATTTCGCGACAAAACCACTAAATTCTATTTTAATTAATTACTATAATTAATTATAATAGAATATGGGATAAAGGAATATTACAGTGTCAAAGCAGTTGTTATATGCAGAGCTGAAATCGTAGGCATTAGCTATTTTTTCATAAGTCTTTATAGTTATACCACAGATAACATAATATTACCTAGTTATACCTATGTATGTTATATTGCTACTGGAGATGACATTTTTCATGTCGAGGTTCATTATTCAAATTTATTCGACAAGGAATCGAATAGAGCACGATGAATATCAATTCCATCCCAAACTAACTTAAACTTTATCAACTCCCGAGCCCTTTCAAATTATTTATGGTTGGCGGAATACGTTTTCCTCTTTTATATCAGTTTATAAAAAATATTTCTATCTGTATTTTTCCTTCCTGAGCATATTACCTTCAGTAATAAACCAATTTATTTGTTTATTTCAACTTTTTAACTTTTATTGTATTTATATTCAAACACAGTGGTATTATGTATATTTTTTTAAATACATTCTTAATATACTACTATAATACCCATGAATACAAATGTTTGCTCAGTACGAGGAATAGAACCCGCTTCTATCGGAAATAAAACAGTGCGCTAAACCACTAAGCCACCATATTTTTATATAAAAAATATACGAAATGACGGGTAACTAGTAGATTTATATAATAATAGTTGCTTTGGTAGGCCAAGTAATGTGTATCGACACACAGTATATAAGTTAAAGAAGATCAACAATACATGCGTAAGCTCATAAATATTAAGTGTATTATATATATTAACATAATATTTTATGTATACATAATATATATGTAATTATGAAAATATGTATAATCTTATATATAAAATTCTCGTGTCACAGTTTTCGTTCCCATACTCCTCCGAAACGGCTTGACCGATTCTCATGAAATTTTGTGAGTGTATTGAGTAGGTCTGAGAATCGGCCAACATCTATTTTTCATCCCCCTAAATGTTAGGGGTAGTCCACCCCTAAATTTTTTTTTTATTTTAAGGCAAAACAACGTTTGCCGAGACAGCTAGTATAATATATTTATATGCTACAGTGAAAACTTCTGTTAAAAACTTCCACAGTATCAAATCGCAGTGGAAGCCTAAGAATTTATAAATCCAAATATGTAAATAATAAAAAAAAAACTGCGAAACAATATATATACATAGAAAACACACAGACCAATCGAAACAATTGTATTCATGAATACAAACCGAACTCGCGACTAGTAGAAGTAAGGCGGTGTATGCTAAACAGCTAGACCACCGAGGTAAATAAGATTATTGTTTATTAACCCTTTATTAACCCCTATCAAGTGAGACCATAGGGAAATAGCTTGGATATAAATCCGCAACAGTATTTAGTCAATTAGAAACAAACAGACGATGTTCAATTAACCGGCGGTCTCATTACTAAAGTCGTTGAGTGGCTCGCATACCCACACAGATATGCAATCCTCTCCAGTTAATCTCCTGGCTTTATTCAGAGCGTTAAGTAGATTAGTGAAGTAGAATACTGCGGATTGTTGAGGATGTGTCCTTGTTTGAGAATTAAGGCAGAAGTTTAAGCACTTCAATTATAGGATAAGGGGCATGATATCTTAGTCTTCTGGAATGGAAATACATGAGGTGTAACGAGGTTGTCACATAAAAACATTCGTAGTGCAGTACATGTATAATATATGGACGACAGTTACAATAAATAAATAAATAAATAAATATAAATAACCTCTGGATATTCAACACAGCGCCATCTAGTCACACGGTAAGCGTAGCTTGTGTTATGGGTTCTAGTCGACTGATATAAATATCTAGATTTTTTTTTCAGTTCATCTGAGAATCGACTTCTACTATTTTTTTAATTTTCCCCTTCCTTCAACACCTATTTTTTAATAGCGATTGTAATTTATATGGCAAAACAACGTTTACAGGGTCATCTAGTAATATATAAAGAAATAGCAGTGAAATTATAAGCTACGGAGGCATGCCGACTTAGTCCTCCTGAAATTGAATGGCAACGCATTAGGGTCCACCAACGTCGTCGTCATGGATGATGGAGATGTGAAGAACTGATAAGAAACTCAGGTCGTATTTTTTTCAAATAAATCATACACACTATTTAAATACTATGATTTTTTTTTATTAAATACGCTATAAGGTTCAATTTACATGGTAATTCAATTGTTTGAATTTGATATGTAAGAGCTACATGTAGAACATCTTCGCTGAGAAGTTTGCTTGGTGAATGGAAAAAAATATAAATAAAAAACAATGGAATTCTGACGTTTTTATACCTAAGGTACCAGAGCCATAGAATCATTGTAGCAATCATTACCATATACCATCTCCAGCGGTTAGTAAATTCCTACTACAGAATATAACAATATAAAATTAAACGTAATCTGGTCAAAAACTAAAAATTCATAAAATATATAATATAGGGTCGTTAGTACCTACTGGAGACTAGGATCATGTCAGTTCGACCCCCATGCAGTCCATTTTGGAGGATATTGTGGTTAGTTCCTGATAAACTTGCCACGATGCCCTAACTGACCTGACTCAGGAGAGATTATCCTTACCTGGTGCCCCACCAGCATATATATCTGATATCACAGTTGATTTCATCCATTAATAAAAATTTATCATAATCATTGATTAGTAATACAGTCATTAATACAAAAAGTGCAACAATTAAATCCTCGAGCATCAGAAGATGATGCATATTTTAATTTAAACCGTTAAACTACAATATTATATTCGAGTAAAACAAAAACAACATTATAAGTTGATAATTTATGATTTGATGTTGTGGAATTAAATCTTGTAAACAAATTATCTAGGATTAATAAAAACACTTTCATATTGATATGTATGTATCATTCCTTTTTTTAATTTAACTTATTTCTAATGTAATGCATTGTTATTTGAATAATCTATGAACGTGTCTGTAGCCTCAAAATGACATTTATATGACATCTGTCAAATAAATCCCCATACAACAGTGCCCTCTGCTATCGAAAGTTTGAAACAAAGCTTAATGGTGGATTTATTGTAAATGACTGACGTTATTCTTAATTTTATTTGTATTTTTTGATTAATTATCGTTATTTGTATAAATTAGTTCTGTGGCTACGGCCATATCATGCTTTCTTATGTCGGGTTTAGCTAAAACGTCAGTTTTAGTCGAGGAGGGTGGAAATATCTGTAGAAAACGTTCCCTTCCATCCAGCGATCAGTGCAATAAAAGATCAAAAACCGACGATATGAGTGCCAACGAGAAGAAATCAAACTTTTCAGTAATAAATCCAAGCAATGGGACAGTCAAAACGACCACGTCCTCTATGAATAAACCAGGAGCGGCAACTAAAAAACTCATTATTAAAAATTTCAAAAGTGTGTTTACCATTTATTTTTGTCGTCACATCATAACCTATAATGTTGCGTGATTCTGTAATAATTGGTCGTAATTTATTGTAGGTAAACCGAATTTGCCGGAGAACTACCAAGAGACGACATGGAGCAAGTTACGAGAAGCTGTTATTGCTATACAGACGTCAAAGGCTATTGCTTATTCCTTGGAGGAGTTGTACCAGGCGGTGGAAAATATGTGCAGCCATAAAGTAAACATTTAAAACTATAACAATAAATATCTCTTACACAATACAAACTAATTGATAATAGTTAATTTAGTAATTATTACAAGTTTCTGTAGTTTTAAACTGCATGGTAACTTTTGATACTATCTAATGGGAATCATATCCAAATCTCATGGAATTAATTTAGAGCCACTATTAGAATCATATTATATTTTTGAAACATACAATGTTTTGAAATTACATTTACATCAGTACACCCTTCTTGTTATTGAGCACCTCAAATTTAATCACAACATACACTTACAATTTATTTCACCTGTAAAAATTGTAATGTAAAATATTTTTAAATTTCTGTAGTATTTAAATTTTTATAAAAAATACCTTGTATGTTGTGATTAAATTTGAGGTGCTCAATAACAAGAAGGGTACTGATGTAAATGTAATTTCTAAATTATTCTTTGTTATATATGAACGAAATAGCTATCAGGTACGTTGTACTATTGTGTAGAGTTAATAATAATAATAATAAAAACTATTCTGCATAAAAAAAAACCAAATAATTACAAAATATGCGAACAAAAGGTGGCCTTATCACCCAAAGCTATCTTGAGTTAAGCGAGTTAAAGTAGTACTGATAAATTAGAAATAGACACTTGGGTTATTTACTAAGATAAATCTTTTCAGAACATAATAGTTAATCATCTGAAAGAAAGAACAGTGTAACAGATCAGTTTTTCCATCACCAGAGTCAGTCAGAAATATATATTAACATAATAAGATTTTTTTTCTGTTTTTGGTTGTCAAAATGCTTTTAATTGTCCCTTTCATTAGATGTTATTTCAGTGAATTCTGTAAAATTATTTTATTTGTACTAGTACTGTACTACTATAAGAAAAATTACAAATTAAGGTTGGTTGAATTCTTATCCAGCCTCATACGGTTTGTCGGAATTTACAAAGTATCAATAATTTATCTTTTTTTATCTTATCATAACACTTCAAAAAGTTTTTCATTTGAACCATATTTTTTTGTATATGTTATGCAGTATCTACAGCAATATTGAAACTATTTTGATAAGTTACATTAATATTTTTATCAGCCACACTGGTACCAGTTCCATACTTTCTCTACATTCGTTTTGTTTATTTGTATATATGTAAATGAAATGGCAAACAAGTTATTGGACTACTTAGTGGAAAGTGGACATCCTCAAAGATCATCTTAATCTTCTCTTAGATGTTAAGTTACCATATCCACGATATTACTAATATTCCACACATCATTAAATTGTGACATTTTAAAAATGTTAAACACAATAATCTATAGGATGATATCTCAGGACAGTTAATTCACACAGCGCCATCTAGTGCCAAACAGAGCTTGTACTATGGGAACTAAACAACTGTATATATATAGCTATAAATACATGACACATTTTTCTGTAAATACATACATATAGGTAACACCCATACAAATACCACACACTGATACAAATAGGCATGCTCATGAATGTTTGGACCTATAGGAGCCCGTGTCAGCCCGTGACAGTTGGATTTGGCTCTATGCTAAACTGCTAATCCACTAAGGCAGTCAAATTTCTTTATTCAATCATATTTATGTTCTTTTCTAGATGGCATCTCAGCTATATGTAAACTTAACAAATTTAGTAGAAGCCCATGTGAAGGCAAATATAGAACAATTCTTGTCAGAGAGCATGGACCGGCAAGTATTCCTCAAGAGAATGGATGATTGCTGGCGAGCTCACTGCCGACAGATGATTATGATTCGCAGTATCTTCCTGTACTTGGATCGCACTTATGTTCTGCAGAATCCTAGCATACATTCAATATGGTATGTAATAACACCTGACATTACATAATGTTATCACATTGTCTTATCATCTTACACTACAAAATCCTTTATACAGTTCAAAAGAAACAAGCAGACAAAAACAGATACTGTTTTCTACTGTATATTGCATAAACGAAATATCTCCTTTGGAAAGTATACACTATATCCTGAAGATATAAAAACAATCGCTCCTAAGAAAGAATTGAAGGATCCATTTTTTGTCCCTGAGGGGCTTAGATAGTGAAGTTTGTAAAAGGGCGAGCACAATAGATCTATGTAGGTAGCAGTGTGACACATGACACCTGACAATAGCCTAAAACCCTCAATAAAAATTATATATATAATTAATTTTAAATGTAATCCACATTGCCATTAACAGATAAAACTTGTTTGAGATTGGAAGCAAAATATTTGTTTTATATACTATGGAAATATATAGAAAGAAAGCAAAACTTTTTAATCCTCATAACAATTACATAAGCACCCTCACATAATCAACATACAAATAATAATCAAAGTACCTATTGTTTACATATATTGCGTCGATAAAAATAATATTGCAACAGATGCAAACAAGAAACTTGTTTATATTAAACACAGATTTTTGTTACATGTCTATATCATTATGAGACACAGTAGGCAATTTAAAGGAGATTATAGTTCATCAAGACGCATGTCTCTTGCATCTTAAGGTCGTCTGGAACATATTGCTACTTAGTGATAAGGCCTTTTATTACCTCTGTGTCATATTGTTTTATCTTTTTATTATGATATACTGTATTTTGTGAGGAGAACAATAACAAGTTGAAAACTCAATTAAAATAGTTATTTGGACTATAATCTATATCTTTTGATGTACGGAATGCTGTATAACAGTCACTATAGATTTTAATACATAATTTTTAATTATTTAAAATGTTATTTATACATATAATTATATTTAGGCAACACAATTTCACAAATTTATTTGTATAGTATTTACAATAAATTCTAAAACACAGTGAACAAATTTAAAGTTGTTCATATTTTATTTTTTCAGGGATATGGGTCTAGATCTGTTTCGTCACCACATAGCCATGAATACACTAGTTCAAACACGTACAGTAGATGGGTTGCTACTACTAATAGAGAGGGAGCGAGGAGGGGATGCAGTGGATATTTCATTACTGAAGAGTCTTCTACGGATGCTCTCTGATCTGCAAATATATCAGAAAGCTTTTGAAAACAAGTATGATAAAGACATTCATTTTGTAACTATGTTCTAAATAGAGTAACTTGTAGGAATATTGTTTATAGTATTGCTCTATCCATCTAAGTTTACTAGACTTATTTTTGTATAATCTGTAGCAAGAGTATTAACCCGCCGAAATAACCTGGAGGTTAGTCCCACATAAAACCACATAGTGTATATCGAGACACCATTGCCAAAGTCATGGGAACGAGTTTACATTACCATGCTACGCCTAGTCGAAGTCCACAACTGCAAGAGCACTAACCTCTGTTTAGATTCACTTATAAAATTTTACTATATTGTATATTGACTTTTCTTAAAAAAATATTAGATAAATAATCTCTTCTAAATACCTTACAAAATGAAAATATTTGATGTATCTTTTCTGGTGATGTACAGATTCCTGCAGGCGACTGAACGATTGTACGCTGCGGAGGGTCAGCGCCTGATGCGTGAACTAGCCGTGCCTCAATACCTCGCACACGTAGAGAAGCGTCTCCGCGAAGAGAATGAGCGTTTACTCCATTATCTAGATCCCTCCACCAAGTGAGTTTCTGTGTTCATCCTAAATACGTATGCATGACTACAATTTTTAATTTTTATAAAGGAGTTTGGGGATTTTTCCTGAGTCTATTGTGCTCGCCCCTTTTTTTGAGTTGCTATATATGTCCTACATATATTTTTGGACATTGTTAGTTAGGGAAGAAGTATATCTGATGATGAAATGCAATTTCACACTGAAATGTGGTTTGTCATTGATGATATAACATAATGATATTAGTTCTACACATTTGTAATTTCTAACATGCCAAAGACAATGTGTGCCTTTTATCTATGGTATTTTTATATATAAAAGAATTCTAATTTACCAATTTTAGTAACTCTTCACTTCATTTACTTGAAAATATTTTTCTAAATAAAATTAATGCTGGTCCTATACAAAGTTTATTTTTTTTAATTATCATACATTTATTATGATAAATAAAGACTTGCTACTTTATGTATATTGTTTCAGATGGCAATTAATTCACACAGTAGAACGTCAATTACTTAGTGAACATCTATCTGGTATCCTAAGCAAAGGTCTGGAGACTCTGATGGACGGTCCAAGGTTGGCTGACCTCACCACACTATACAATTTGTTCAACCGAGTCAAAGATGGGCTTACCGAACTCTGTAATCATTTCAATGCTTATATTAAGGTAATAATACATTTCTAATTACACTGAGTTATAACATTTTCTCATGGTCTAGCAGTTTAACATATTACTTTACTTCCGATGGTCGCGGGTTCGATTTCTAGCACGGTACATATATTTGTTTTGATGACTATGATTATTTGTATCGGTCTGGGTGTTTACTGTGTATATTATGTAAGTATTTACAAAAAAATATGTATCTGAGTATTTAGTTGTAGTACCCATAAAGCTCAACTTAGCTTGGGATTAGATGAAACTTTGTGAATTATCCAGAGACAATATTATTACTATTACTTTCATAGATGTTTATTATTCTATTGTCACAATAATCAACGGAATTCTATGGGCTCCTCTACTGACTACATTCATGCAATTCGTATGTGTTCACTATACCTAAACTGCTCGTAGGACCAAATTTGGTCCTACGAGCCGGATATTAAGTCTTTCTGGAGTACATGAATAAGATCAGTTATGTAAATAGAAAAGATACATATATAAAGATAGATTTATTAACTTGCTCTTATGTCTATCTACTCTGGACAAAATACATTTTTTTTTATTATAGCCTTCTATTCAGACGTAACACGTTATTATTATCTATTATTTATTGGTCAGTCTTTTCCATTCCATCTAAATGTATTTTACTATTTACATTTTTTTTATTTACAGAAAAAAGGTCGCACGATAGTAATAGAGCCAGAGCGTGACAAGACCATGGTGGCGGAACTACTCGACTTCAAGGAGCAGCTGGACCATATAGTGAACACATGCTTTCAGAGAAATGACAAGTTCCTCTACTCAATGAGGGAAGCCTTTGAATTCTTCATCAACCAACGGCAAAATAAGCCTGCGGAACTTATCGGTAAATAAACTTATTAATAAAAAAATGGAAATGCTTGAGTACGACTATTATCTATACTATTTATGGCAAATAAATTAATTGCCGATTTAATGGAAAGTAGCAATATATGAAAAGCAGCATTTAAATCGTGTCGTCGTCAATCGTCATATATTTTTAATAATACAGATGATTCTTTAATAGTAATAACAGCCTGGGCCAATTCACACAACATCATCTAGTGGATTATGTAAATATAATTTATTTTAGTAAATATAAATAATATGTTATAATACATAATATACATAGAAAACACCCAGATCAATTCCAACATGGTATGATACCCATGAATACAAATGTTTTTGTGCAAGGAATCGAATTGTTTACAGAAATGTGGTCTGCTATACCGCTTAACCATCAAGCCCTTTATATTTAACTTAACAACTACTTTAATATAGAATACAATGCATAAATAAATAAATAGAGTATTAAAGAACATTTAGAATTGGTTGTGGTTTCTTTTTAAAAAAATAGTATTAATTTTCTAATTTATTTCTATAATATTACAGCCAAATTCGTCGACGTAAAACTCCGCGCTGGCAACAAAGAAGCGACCGAAGAAGAATTAGAACGACTACTAGATAAAATAATGGTTCTTTTCCGATTCATCCATGGCAAGGACGTATTCGAAGCGTTTTATAAGAAAGATTTGGCGAAAAGGCTACTGGTCGGGAAATCTGCTTCTGTAGATGCCGAGAAGTCTATGTTGAGTAAACTAAAACAGGAGTGTGGTGGAGGTTTCACTTGTAAATTAGAAGGGATGTTTAAAGATATGGAGCTGTCCAAGGACATTAATATAACATATAAACAGGTAAGTGTGGTGTTGATTGCTAGAATTCCTATAACATAAGACAATATCTGGTAATGTAGTAATTAGTTTTAGGATACAATTGGACTGGCATGTACTTTTAGTTTGAACAAAAGTTCCTGAATGTTAAAAATAAATAAAAAAATAAACAATACATTATACTATATAATGAGACATTAGGGGTGGCAACTTATAAAATATATACAGTATAAACCTTTTCATTCCAATATTGAAGTTTTTCAGTATATTACTTAAAAATATTATTGAGACTTTTTGAGACTTATTGATACTATTCAGCCCATCCACAAAAGTTTAATTTGACCTTTTCATAGTTGAATGCAGAAAGTTTGCTGACCTTGATTTCGTGTATTTAAATGTCGAAATTGAGACCAAAGTATCTATACTAGTAGTGTAATTAGGACGAATGCAGGAAATCCATATACAGTTGCTCGGTATTATTTATAGAAAATTATGTTTTTTCCGTGAAAGAGTAACAAACATCCATACTTACAAACGTTCGCGTTTATAATACTAATAAGATATACCAGTCAATATAATTCTATTGTATTATAATTGTTCAGCACCTGACGGCAATGAAAGAGGGCGGTGGTCTAGAGCTGTCAGTGTACATCCTGACGATGGGGTTCTGGCCGACGTACGCGCCGGTGGAGGTGCGGCTGCCGACCGAGCTGACGCGCCACCAGGATCACTTCACCAAGTTCTACCTCGCCAAGCACTCCGGACGCAAGCTGCAGTGGCAGGCTACGCTCGGGCACTGCGTGCTGCGAGCTAACTTCACACAGGTAATTTGAAACTTGAGTGTAAAACTACACATGTACTATTTAATAATTTAAAATGACAAAGAATAACTTTTGAACTTTTATCCTTTCCCTGTGTTTTCATTTAGTATGTCTTAACTTAATATTAAGACTGTCATACTCTTAAAATAAAATAAATAAACAATAACAAATCTACAAATAAATAAATTTATTATTTTTATTTATTAATTTAAAGAACATTGTTTTCTGTCTATTCTTACTAATCTCTCAAAAGGCTGGACCTAGTTTGACACTGTTGGACTTTCAGTCGCAGTTGGCTAATGTTATATGGAGTAACTTAGACTATTTTTTTTTATAAAATATACATACTTTCTTGTTTCAGGGTAACAAAGAGCTGCAGGTGTCACTATTTCAAGCGCTCGTTCTTCTGCTATTCAATGACGGAGACAATCTCTCATTTGAGGAAATTAGGACCGCCACTAATATAGAGGTTTGTCACTTATTTATTAGAGAATTATCAGGTTTTATTCCCTCTAGAAATTTTCTATGATGTTCGAAGACTTATTGAATTGTATTTTTTATTCATAATCCCATCCCATCCTCGTCGGCACCGTTGACTGTGTAATAATTCCTTGTATTACCAGGAATATTTGGGAACAAAAAAACAAGTCTTGTTACTACTCAATATATAAAAAGAACAAAGACAAAAACACATTACTCACATTAGATACACAATTGTTATTTTACTTATAATTACATCACATTATAGAATTTATTTCTCTTTTTTTTTAATTATCACATAATCCGTACAATAAATTATTACAACCAAACATACTTACTCATGTTATGTTATTTTCAGGAGGGCGAATTGCGGAGGACACTGCAGTCGCTGGCATGTGGAAAGGCTCGAGTACTGAGCAAGGCGCCGCGGGGTCGGGAGGTCGATGACACTGATCACTTCTCATTCAACGGGGACTTCACCAACAAGCTATTCCGCATCAAGATCAATCAGATACAGATGAAGGAGACGGTCAGATCATTTTACATTTTAGTTTTATATACTATTATATAAAAACATTCCAAAAGGCATAGTCAAATGTGATTGTTCCCGTATATATATTTAGACTATAATGGTAATAACCCTCGACAAGTCACCCAGTAAGTTTTTGTAGTTAGTTTCAAGGTAAGCATAGTTTATGTTATGGATGCTAGATAACTGAAGGAAATCCTTAAATATATACAGAATGTACATAGAAAATACCAATGCAAGCAATCATTTCATTCATCATTGTGTTTTCGCATATATAAAACTAGAATGGATAGTTTGTTTTAGTTGCTAGAGACACTTTAGTAAAACTTAAATACTTAAAAATATCCTAGTACTTTTGTCAACAAAATAACATATTTACGTGTGTACTTCAGAGCGAGGAGCAAAAGGCGACCGAGGAACGCGTGTACCAGGATCGGCAGTACCAGATCGACGCCGCCATCGTGCGCGTCATGAAGATGCGGAAAGCGCTCTCTCACAACTTGCTCATCTCCGAGTTGTACAACCAGCTCAAGTTCCCCGTCAAAGTAAGATCACGTTATCCATACTAACATTAGAAAATGTGTGTATCAGTCTGTTACCTTTTTACAACTAAACACTGAACAGATTTAATAATGGAATTTAACACGATGATTGTAGTGTGAGTACGGAAATAGGCCATCTTTTATATCAAAAAAGTTTCAGAGCGATATTACAATGAATGAACAACTTAATTCTCAGAAATAACATATATGTACTATATACATATGTTATAACTAAGTTGTTGTGTATATGCACCTATAGATGATTATTTATTTCTTATTTTTGTGGAGATGTTAAAAATAGCCGGCGGTCACATAAAAAAATGTTAGTTTCTTACTCCAATCACATTTCAATGACTTCACAAATTTTGACACAAAATACAGTAAAAACCTGTACACATAGGATACCCTAAAATATATTCCGAGTACTACTATTCTCCCGTATAGTTTCAGAACAGAACTTTAAAATAAATTATGTTTCCAGCCGGCTGACCTCAAGAAGCGCATAGAATCTCTTATCGACCGCGACTACATGGAGCGAGATAAGGACAACCCCAACCAATACAACTATGTGGCGTAATCGCGGCGTCCGCGAGTGCTCACCCCCGCAGGCGTAGCCGCCAGCCTCCGCCCGCATCCACTCGCATCCGTCCGCATCCGCAACGGGTCGAGTGCGTGCGCAATTTGGCAACTTTTGGAATGAGACAACGGGCGGTTAGACGTGTATAAAAGACGGTTATGTGAATGAAACTACCTTTAATAGTTGTGTGGAGCTAATTGAATTGGTCGCAAAGAATTTGATACTGGTTTCAAGCAGAATATAGTATCAGATATCTGGTAATTAGATGGTATGTTAAATGGACAAAGTGTTGGAAATTTTGTAATCATTTCATAAGAAATAATTTACATCTGGCCAATTGGAAGTTAGCGGTAGATGTCAGAGGCTACGCTTGTCGAGACATGCCTGTATGTACACAATAGTTTTCATCCCTTTTCAATGTGTTGTATATCTTTTAATAGTTTAATCTCTATATTTATTTCATATGAAGTTAAATAAATAGTTTTGATATAATTTAACCAGTATTTAAGCCAATTTATTAATATTACCCTGGATTGCGTGATGTTCGTCTAGTCCCCAAATAAGCTGAACTCAATCTTACCTTGTCACTAAAATTGCACAAAGTTATATGCCAACACTATGTTCAAATAATTTACTCTTATATAAATCAGCAGATTGAGTAATTTCTATCTAAAAATTACCATTTGCTACATTGAAAAGTGATGAAATAATAAATTCAGTTTCTGAAAGGTTCCATGAGGTTTATTCTGCTAGTATAAATTAGATGGACTATAACAAATTACACTAGTATTATTCAGAAATACTAAATATATACCACTGATAGGAAAAACCAAATGATGGTACATTTTAAACTAGATCCACAAATTAATCTACTTTTTATTGAATTGTCTAGAAGCAACGTCACATGATCAGAATTTGATTCCAACGTTATAAATATAAGTATTACAGATAGTTGTTACAGCTTGTAATTATAATGTGTGATATTAGATGATGGATTATCCTCCCATACAGCGGACTCGCTCATTTGTAGCTTTTGTGTAGATTATTGACTTTTAGTTATCTAAGAAGTTACTTAGAAATGCTTCTAAGACCAGTAATGTGTTGCAGTTTAAAAGGTAAATTTCACGTTAAAATTAATACTTTTTAAATTTATGAGCTTATGTATGGTGAGAGATACACATGTTTTATATAGAAGTGTACGAAGATATACAATGTTAAACAGATTTTGGCTACATTTATGTCGATAATTAATGTTAAGTACAACAGTGTGAATAGTAGCACTTATCTTAGCAACATCGGCATTATTTTACAAGCATATGTATCTTTAGCCAAACAGTTCAATTCTCACTGTAAAATATATATTACTAGCTGTACGGGTTGTGTATGTAATACAAACCTTCCTCTTGAATCACTCTATATATTGCTAAAAACTATTAAAATCCGTAGTTTAAAATATCTAAGTGAACAGACAGCGAAAGCGACTTCCTTTTATAGATGATATGATATATTTAAAGATATATCTAGATACAACAAATTAATAACGCTCACCATATTGTCTATTGGAAATTGTCATTGTACTCGTATATTTATGGCCGCTTAGAGACCGTTCCATCTGGGTGCTCATACCTTTTGAGTTTTGTATATATTAATATAATATAATATACATATATTACTTTGGAATAATGTACCTTTCAAGCAGTAAAAGAATTTCTCAAATCGGTACAGTGATTCCGGAGTTTACTTTCCTCTTAACAAAATCCGCTCTCTCTATAATATTAGTAATTAGTATAGATATTGAAAACAATTTCAATGCAAATTAGGATGAGCAACGTTATTTTCATGTCATTGTCGAAAGATAATATATATTTGCAGTGAAAATTCAACTTAATTGTGGAATTTGTATTATATGGGTAATATATTTCTGTTTGTACATTTTGTATTTTCTTTTTCTTGTCTATGTACTCATGGGCACTTTCAAAACACTATAAAAGTTAGTTTTGCGTTAGATTATGTGTATATTGCCATTCTATTAGCATTTTGTCAACGCTACTAGCGCCCAAGTGTGATTTTCATCGAGTTACGTCAAAATGGAGGGATGATTAAATACTATTTATAATTTTCAATATTGTTTTATTCAACTTTTAAACATAAATTAATTTATATACAGAACAAATAACATAAATACTGCTATATTCAATTGTGATTTATTTCCTATTCTACAAGTTCTAGTATAAAAATTTACTAGCTAGATATTATTAGATATTGGAATTTTATTTTACAAATTGAGCTATATTTACATATAATTTATTATCTTATTTATTTTTGAACCAGGTTAGGTTTAGTCCACACTATGCCAGGAGATAAAAAAATGTGTACAATTTTATTATGACAGTTTAACGAATGTATTATGACAGTTTCACGAATGTATTATGACAGTTTTTGTTTTATTGAACTCATCAAGATCACAATAATAATTATAGACATAAACATACAAATAGGATTCGGAAATATACCTGCTGGTAAGAACAAGGTGGTAGGTTAAATAAATCCTTCATATCAAATTAATTGTAAATGCAGATCTAATCTAATATGCAGATCAAATTATAGTTCTAAAACTTTATAACGAGTATACAGAATAGTACCAGCAGTTGGCGTGTTTTTTATATATCTAAAATCTCTGATCCTTGCATTACGGTGGAGACTAGGATTACCGTACTAATTCTTCGCCAGCATAAGTCAGTGAGTACCTGTACATTAGTGGGGACAGAGTCCGGCGAGGATAGATTGTTTCCGAGATTAAAAAAAGGTCCTAACTCTTAAATCGAGTTCTAACAGCACTAGTAATTACTTGTCCTACAATAAGCACTTCTTTAGAGTATTATGTTTCTTAATAAGCACCTCATGTCACTATTATCACAAACAGATCTGAGTTACATTCGTTCACTTGTCAGTCATCTTGAACACTGTATCCAGGTGGTCCTTGTGGTAGTCCAACTCCTCAGCCAACGCATTGGCTAATATGTCTGGCGTGACGTCTGTATCTAGATAGTCACGTAGTAACACCTGTAACAAACACGAATGTTTATTTCTTAATTGCGTAGTTAATTTGTCGAAATTTCAGTTAGTAAACCAAAATTAAACAACACGAAACTGGATTAATGGATATATATTTGTTACTTTTAGTACACGCAAAAACTACTCAAATTTTTAATAATTTTTACAGTAATATAACTCATACATCAGAATAGGCTATAATTTAAAAAAAGGTACATACAATTTGGTCGAAACGTATTGATAATTTTCAAGTAAGTGTGATACAGACGAAATTGCGCGGGTTGGAAAGTTTGTGTGGTTGGATGGATGGCTGTTTCTTACTCTTTCACGCTAAAATTACTGAATGGCTGTGGTTGCACCCGCATGAAATTTATAGCCTATGCGCTATTCTGATTTCTAAGCTATATTAATGTAGTTTTATAAAAATTCGTTCAGTGGTTATAATCACAAGCTTTCGCGTTTATAATATTGGTAAGATATAAATAAATAAATTGTACCTGCGGTGCTTGTGCCCCGCCGTGGCACAGAACCCCGGCCCGCAGCTGGTCGCCAGCCGCCCGTGACAGCGGCTCGCCCTCGAAGTGCCGCTTCCAGATGCTCCACGCCAACGCCCGGGATATCAAGTACGAGTAGTACTTCGCGCCGTATCCTATTAAATGGCTGAACCGGTGTTGCCACGCCTACACAAAATTATATATCCATTTATATACTATATACAAAAAAATCTAATCAAAATGAATAACGACGAATCTGCGTTCCGAATGAGTGGTAGAATAAAAAATATGACTATTCAAAAGTGCTTGTATTGTATTTATTTGAATAAAGATTATTACTATCTCTATAGATCTGTGTTCTGTGATCGTTTGTTTGCTAGGACTTCAACATAGTGGCTTGTAAGGTAAAAAATGTTATAAAATTTGCGAGCATGCGAGATATCAGATAGAACTATCTGAAGTAAGGCTACTAAATCGCTAAACCACCGCGGCCTTCAAAATATATAATAGTAATTTGCATAAACCTTCAAAGTTTTACACGACAAAGACTGTAAATATTGTGTAAATTGGAAAAAAAAACAGTGTTTATCTATCTATATACTTCTATCTGTTTTTTATCTATCTATCTAAGTACATACCGTATTCTCAACATAGGGTAGTCCGTAGTACTGTTTCTGCACCTCTTTCAGTACATCAGTGGTATGACCGCCGGAAGCCGCGTTTGGTCCGTGGTAATGCTGGTCCAGAGCCGAGTAGAATACCTGTAATTGAATCAATGAATGGATATAAATTACCATAGACATACATAGAGGTAGATGACACAAGTACTTAAATTTATATTACACTAAATGTTGGTAACTGTTTTATAAATATATTTTAGTATCTGTGTTCTTGTATAATAAGTAAAATTATTGTCTATGTTCTTATATAAGATATTAGTAAATAAAACATGTATATTTGACTATAACGGTGCCTTTATACTAACTGTGTAACTGTTACCCGCGACTTCGAGGAAATACTAAAATAAAAGTAGCCTATACTGTTTCGTTTAATATTAGATATCTGTTAGTATAAGTCTCGTCAAAATCGGTCGAGGCAGGTGGAGAGTTTCGCCAGAACAAACAGACAGACAAAAAAAAATTTTTTTTATGTAAGTACCGCCTATACTTTCATATACATTTATTGAAAATTTGTCAATTTAAAATTATAACCAGAAACTTCTCTTTTACTTATTTGTACAGATATATTGATAGCAAAACTCCAACAGCACTAAAGTATGTTTTTAGTGGAACTATCGACGGGACATTAATAAACTTGATATCGATAGTCTTCTTCTGCATAGCTAATACAAAAATAAACATAAGTTTAAAAAAGAATATTCGTTAAAGTAATATTAGCAACTATATCACTGAACTTCCACGGCCTATTCCTATACGCACAATAGCATTCATAAGTATGTCTCTTTGAAAAAAAATATATATTTCTATATGTCCTTTACAAATCAAAATATATATTATATATCTGTTGTGATATGAATAGAACAGGCTCTGCTTAGCTTCGTACTAGATGGCGTTGTGTGATTTATCAGGACTATTTATTACCTGCAGTTGCATTTCGCTGGCTCCAAACAAATATTTAGATGCACAGAGTCTGTGCAGCATGTCCTCGGGCATGGGCTCGCGGGTTTGGAAGTGTCGCGCGAACCGACGGACAACCTAACAAAAATTTATTTATAATTATTTTGCAATATAGATTTTAGCTGCCTTTATATGTACGCTCTTTTATAAATTAAAAAATGTGTATATGTAAAGTATTTTAGAACAAAGAGAACGCGTGCGCCGCCAGCTCACGTATTCCCGCGTTCTTCTAATGTTCGTGTTTTCGTGGCTTTTTGTAATAGTTAACTATCATAGCAAAATGGTGGACTGACAAAATGAATCTGCGAACAACTGACTATGGAGCGAAGTCATAATTATAGAGTTGTTGATTATGCATAAAGTTAACGTATCAAATAAAAAAAAAATCTCAAGAATATAAAAAAAGTGAAATGACATGAAACACGCGTAACCCCGCGTGATTTTATTCAACTAATAATATTAACTTACAGCTAATTAAATTTATTAATATGTTAAAACTATTAAACTATACACTCAACTATAGAAAGAGTGATACATTCTAATTTTATTTATTACAGATGGCAAGACTTCTGTGTACAGGTCAATCTTGAACCTTACCTAAAAATGAGTTTAAGAAATGCATGCTCGAATGGTGGGAGTAGAAGCGAGTTGAAAGAGACCTGTGGGCAGCTGGCGAAGTACTCCATGAGCACGCTGGGTACCTCTGCGAGGTCTGTGGGGCAGCGCGTGCCGGACACGTGCTGGTGTCGCGCGCGGCCCAGCATCGAGTGCAGCGCGTGGCCCGCCTCGTGGAACAGGTTGTCCACCGCCGCCGCCGACAGCAGCGCCGGGCCCGACCGGTGCCCGCCGCTCAGCGACAGCATCACCACCACCAGGGGGTTCTGATACGTACCGTTCATTTTATTTATTTATTTACTCACTCATCCACCTATCCACTCATTAGACGTACTGTACGAACTATTACTTACTAACTCCCTCATCCACCCACTCACTCACTATACCTACTGTAGGAGCTAACCACAGGATACAGCCGATTTAAATTTCAAATTTCATTTATTCCTAACAGACTTCCGACGCTTTTGGCTATTGTAAAATATGGAATGAGTCATCTACGAAATTGTTGCACTCTTTAGACAAAGTCTATGTGTGCATTGTTAGTTTATTATATTGTAAATTTATTGCGCATATACAATTATATAAATAAATAGATTAAGCAAAATATTCAATAAAATTCTTCGTTTTCCTTTCTTGTAAATTCTATTGAAACGGATTATACCTTCTATCAAATTATATTAACTTGTTTGCTATTATAGTTGTATATTAGCTCCCCACAAATGTCTACATCAATTTTATTTTGTAACTCACTCAAATCAAATCAAAATATCTTTATTCATGTAGATCTATTACAGATTCTTATGATATGTCAAAAACTACCGTCAGTTCGGAGAGCATTCGAGGTAAGAACTGACAAAAAACTCAAATGTGCTTATACATGTTTACAAAAATACAGATTAACTTTTAAATTCAAAATTAGGCAGAATAGACTAACCTGGTATGTACCATCTGGCAGCAGTTTCCCGCCCTGTATAGTGAAATGGCAATCCTGGTGAGGTTTCCCTGGTCTCTCATACAGATCCCAGTATATATGACCAAGTAAACCTTCGGTCTCGTGCACCACCGCCAGTTTGTAAACATCAGGTGACCATGATTCACCTAACAAAAAGTAGAAACTACATAAAACATGACTTAAGGCATTTTTTATCTGTTGCCATTGCGGTAAAGCTCATTTTGGCGTACAACAAAATTGAAAACAAATGCAAAAAATCTCATTAGTAATTTTTAATATTATCGATTCCAATGATAGAGGACCGTAAAAAATCTATTACTCCTTCGATAATGCATTTTTTCTATAAGATAAATACTGAAATATCTCGATAACATTAGGCTTACAGCCTTTTATGACTAAAAGTTTTATAATATCTGTGCTTGTTACATGGGGACGAAAGTACTGATGATGCTGAGAAATAGTGATTCACAGACAACTTATTAATACATATTATTAAAATTTGATTGAATTGAATTTGTACCTGGCAACATTTCTTGAGATTTCAAACTAATACCGTACAATTCTTGACACAGCATATTCAAGCCTTCCATGCAACCACCTAATGAAAAATATGGACTGAAATCCGAGTTGGCAACATTGAGTAATTGTGTTTTTGCTTTGTGAGTGAAATAAGGAGTGTCCCAACACATTAGCTGATCTTGGTATGGCGATTCGTGTTTCTTCATTTTGAGCATAGCATCGAAGTCTATGTTTGCCCTGTCATGTAGGTGGTTTGACAATATATCTAGAAATTGGCGAACGTTTGGCGCCGTTTCCATTGTGCTTGCTTTTATTGCTCTGTAATAAAATAAGCAAATGTTAATGAAGAATGACAGAACACAACAAAAAAATAACATAAAAAAAATATATTTTTAAAAGGAATAGGGATGGTCACCTGTCTGCGTAGCACTTGAACCCGCAGAGTTCAGCCATGCGGTGCCTGGCGACCAGCGTGGAGTTGAGGAGTCGCTCCTGACGGCTGTCAGCAGCCAGGTACAGCCGGTAGGCCGCCTCGCGGGCCGCCACCTCACCGCATTCCGCGTACACTCCACTCACTATTATGTCCTCGCCTTCTGTGCTGAAACTATGCACAAATATCACTTTAGGATACTCGATAAATTCAATGGCCATAGTGGTCCAGTGGTTTAGCACATTATTTCATTTTTATTGCTCCCGATTTCCATTATTTCACGGTAGAAACATTTTGTATTCATTGAGTATGATTGTTTATATCGATCTGAATATTTTCTTTGCATATTATGTAAGTATTCTTTTTCAAAGACAATTCCCTAATTATTACCCCACTAAATGGGTAACTCTGTATAGGCTTTTAATTCATACTTACTACTCTCGTATTTCATAGTGTTCTTTCACAAGAATAATATATATATTTATATTGTATACAGTTTATATAAATAACGTATCACAGTATATGTGATAATCTACCAAAAGTTTTATAATAAGTAAAATCAAAACAGAATTGTCATAAATTTATGATGGAGCTAAGGTAGTAGGAAACTCCATACTCCATACTTAAAATTCCTGTTTGGTTCTAGAAGGCGATCTTAGATGTTGTGATGTAACATTTCAATTATAGTAATTGAAATATTACATCACAAAATATAGGATAACCTGTCAGGGTAAATTGTACACAAAGTATGACTGCTGTGACCACTTGTTCTACAATGTCACATTTCGTTGACCCCCTCCACTTTACATTGTGGCGTAATATAAGTATGACCGTTATTGATGATTATCTTTGTGTTTATATACTAACAACTGCCTAACATTAGCAGGGACGGCACGTCGCGGCACCCTCCTCGGCGTGGCTGCACCAGCCATGAACTTCTGTCCAGTCTGCAATATGGTGTCATTGAGAGCCACCACGCGTCTTCGTGGCTCCTCATCCAATTGGATGCCACTCTGCTCAAAGTCGAACAGGAACAACTCGGCTAAATGCTGATCACCTGATGTCCCTCGCTCCACAGAGTCTCGTAACGCTTCATATAGACCCTTATGTGTGTTTAGTCTGTAAATAGTGATGTAAAATTTTATATGAGGCAAAACTATGAAGTAATGTACTCATCCTAGTGAACATTCTCCTCCCTTTAGAGGAAATAATAATATAATTATTATTTCCTCTAAAGTTCATAATGTTCGTAATGTTTCGTAATGTTCACTACATTAATTAATATCATTATTAATTATTATTAATATAGGAAAAAAGAGAGGAGACATTATCATGTAAAAAAACTCTATAACATGTGAATTAAAGATTGCATTTAAATAAATAATATGAATTATCTTATTAATACAATAAATGTGAAAGTTTGTGAGTACGGATGGATGTTACTCTTTCATGCAAAAAGTACTGAACAGATTTTGTTGTTACTAGTGATATAGTACATCAGAATAATACATAGGCTATACATATAATGTGGGTAAAACCATGGGCACAGCTAGTATCAAATATTTACATATGCATTGTATATAAATATGTCCATAAAACATTTTGTAATAAGCAAATCAAAACAGAATTGTGATAAAATACACATGTAAAATAAACGTCCCCATTCCCATTCCCATATTTCAGTTCAATTTGTATTACACAAGAACTATTTAACTTACTTTTCAACCACTCCACTGATGCTAATGCATGCATCCTCAGCAGCACTGGCAAAATGTGGCTGTGGATGAGCTATCCTTACAAACTCTGCCAAATCAGCAACTTTGCACAAAGTGTCAGATAGTTCATCAAAGATCTCCACCATAGGTCTGCTGGGGTTAGACGTAGCTTCCTCTATGAGGCGATCAGTTGCAGCTATGGCTTGTTCCTTGAGAGTATAGAACCCTTCAAAAGTTGTTAGTTCTGGCTTGTTGAAAAGACCCTAGAAAATATTACTTATTAAAATTTGAAGCACCAAGTATTTTACTATGTGTTTCTTTGAAATCTGTTGACAGATTCAGACATTTTTGTTTAAACCTATTTGTATTCAAGGGAACATAAAAACTGTATCCAAAAAAATATACATATTTTTGTTTTATGTTTTTTAGCAATGATAACTTATATTTATAGCTAGGATTAAGTATACTCTCTCTTCTAGTTGATCTGCTAAGGATAGGTTCCTTAGTAGATAGACTAATGGATCATTGAATTATATATTTAGATATATAGCAAAAATAGATATTAAAATATAATATATAAACTATAGTCTGAGTATACTAAATCATGTAGGCCTTGAATCAGAACTATTTAACAGTACCTGAACCACAAATTAAAAGTAATAAACTATTAACAACTAATGATATTATAAAAAATGCAGGATTATTTTACATTATGAGTTTCAGAAAAGACATAATGTACTAGTACTAATCAATATTCTGTTCACAAATCATTAAGTAGCTTATTTATTACAAATGCAAGGAAATAAGATATATTTTTTAAGATATGTGATTGGTTTCTATTAACTAATTATTATCATCCTATTCTTTTAAATTTATTTAAGTTTAGAGAAAACAGATTCTCTTAAACACATTAAATGAATTACTTACTGTTCTCTCTCTTAATGATTCAAACAAAGGTCTCGAGCTGGGTCTGGTGTTGAATGCTGTAGCCAGTGGTGACCATGTAGTGACCTTACGACCAGTACTTTGGCGTTGGCCAAGGTGTAACACCCTCATGGGTTTTAAAAGCTTCATGTTTCTATAAAACAAAAATATTAACATACAATACAAACATGATTATGAATGGTAGTTTATAAGATTATTAGTATTTAGGTACCTACTTAATTATTTTTTAATTGTTCAGCTAAAAACTAGCATGAAATTCCAAATTAATAAGTATATTGAAAACTCTGTAAAACACAGAACACATGGGATGAATTTAAAAAAATCTGCCGTTATGCACTCATTTTAAAAATCTGTGATATTATTTCTAACTTCCTGATATGTATATTCTGTTATAAAAGATGATTTATTGATTGCGAGAGAAAAATAATACTATAATTATAATTCGTAATACATACAAAGTATAAAGAACACAGACTAATATTTTTTCAAATCTTTGGACAAATCGTAGAGTAACAACGTGTGACTTTTACACTGTGAGTTGTCAAAATTATCAATAAAGTGTTATAGATTTAAGATTATATTATTTAAATAAATCAAGATACATAAATACTGCGCCTTTTATACTTTGTACAGCGCGGTTTAGTTTATTTCATTTTTATATTTTTTAAGATATAGATTCAGCTATTTTTTTATGTTCACGCTCATCGAACCACCCGTTGACGTATCATAATACATTTATCTTAATCATTATATGCATGCTAGTAAACGTAAACATATATTGTGTTCTTAGCAACGATGTAGTTATTACGATTACTTGGCGGGTCATGCAAATTCGTCGACTAACAGTCTGTACACGCTAGCAACCTTTACCTCGATGCAATTAGGAATATAAATTGAATTTTTTTTTTGGTTCTGTTTTTCCCTTTTTAGGGAAAGGCAAAAGAACTCAGCCCATACAGCCACATAAATTGAATGTCAAATGAATGCCAAAAATTGTCAATCTGACCAAATTGTCATTTTCAGTGTTATTTAATTAATATTTTGATTTTCAAATTATCAAATAAATCAAATTGAATCTCAATGGCAACAGTGAAATAATTAACCAGTTTTATTTGTGTCTACGACCTGCAATAACCACAACAAATAATGGTTATGTTATAATTTGTGGTATGACTATGTAATGCATAAATTATGGTAAATAAAAATTTGTTGTGAAACAAAGCGTCATTTATTTAAACTAATAATGGTTTGTATTTCGGCTTATTATAAAAGAATATCTTTGATTTTGTGTCCAAATACTCGCTTTACTCATGATTTTATTAATTATTGTAGTCTACCCCACCTCCATTGCAAACACGCCGCTCATCAGGCGACAGTAAAAAAACAACCCCACCGACTTCCAGTATTGTTACTAGAAATGGTGCCCGGAAAGCCAAAATCCAAACCCGTGCCATGTCCGCTGGTGCCAAGGTGAGAAACACATTTTTTCAAATTAATTTTAGCTATTAAAATTTTTATTACTTTTATTTCATTTTAGTTTTCTTGTTGATATATCATTCAATTTTGAAATAAAGCGAAATGAGTACTAGCTATAATCCAAAGTGTTTGTTACTATAGGTTGGAGAGAATTCTTGTGTCTGGTTTATTATCAATGTTTGTTTACATATATGTGTAGTCCACACATAAGTGCCTTATCGTACACATTCATTCAGCACTATTTATCTTATCATGGTATTATGTAAGTATATAAAGATGTTACAAATATATTCTTACAACATTATAATTTTGTAGCCATCAGCCGCGGTTCTCGCTGGCAAGAAGAAGGCACAACAAAAAAAGAAACAAACTGTATACTCTCTCATCAAGGATCATTACCAAATTGTAAGTAAAAAAACAGAGAAACTTATTAAAATTATGAACATAAAAGTTTGTGAGTATGGATGGATGGATGGATGAATGTTAGTTATTCTTTCACAGAGAAACTACTGTGAATGGATTTTAATGAAAATTTATAATTATGTAGCTCATATATCAAAATAACACATAGTCTGTAAATTGCACACAGATATATCTGTGCTCACAGGTAGTACTATTCTGTATAGGCATTTACAGTATACAAATATTTCTAAAACTAAATTTTATGTGTTTGTATTTTTAGTATTAATTACTTTTTTATTTATAACTAATGTGTATAACTTTAACTATGACACACTTCAATAGATCCATTGATATATGTCATCCTCTGATATGTAGTTACTATTTGAGTTACTACTTGATTCTTAATTTCTTACTTGTATAATAATATATTAATTCTATACTTCTATATATTAATTTAGGATGTCATTGTAGCAAATATTTACTTATTTATGGGATTATTTATATCATTGAATAAAAACTGAAATGTAACTATACATATTATACAGGAGTCAACCAATTATAATATGTTTATTCACACCGATGGCTCAGATGAGAGGTTAACTACCTAATAGAGACCAATTTACAATATCTTTATTCAATCAACTCATGGATAGCATAAATTATTCATGTATATATGGACGGATTGTACATGTGTGTGATGATGAAATAATATGTACCAATATAGTATTTGTTGTGTAGGTGTAAGTTTGTTTATCCAAGGCTGCATATCTCTTTAGTTTATTACAGACTTATTTGACTTGTCTGTTTTACAACTTAATGTTTTTATTATTGCATTATCATAGCATGTATTCAACCAAAACTAGATTTGACATAAAATCAGTAACATCAGTGAAGATATGTGTGGATGTATAGAAAGAGGCCCTCATATATTGGACTTATCATCTTATCGAGCGATAAGATGAATAGGGATACAGAGAAAAAGATGACTCAATGATATTAAAGATATTGCTGGAAAACATTTTATTGAGAAAACTGTAATTATATGGGAAATAAAGTGATAATACAGATATAAGACTGATTGATTTGTAACCTACATCTGTGTCACTTATCTGAGTATTTGCTCAGAACTTCTCTCTTTGCCACAGTATACCTGACAGCCACACAATGAATCCAATAGATACTAAAATTTAGTCCATAAATTAAACTTTTTATTATTCCTGTTTCGAAAATGAAAAGTTTTTTTCGTGTACATGTTTTATTGATGTAAGCTATAATTTAATAAATTAATGGAGTCAATTCTTGTGAAATATAATCTGATATGAATTTTGAAGCAGTTATCCTCAACTGATTGAATTGAAATATTCCATACACGTCTAGTTTATATGACAATGTGTGATGACTAAGTAACATTATTCAAAATATAATATGGCGGACCCAAAAGGCGAACTATTTATTTTTTATGCACTTCCATAATTGGGTATCAAATAAAAGGCATGGAACCTTTTTACCAATACGCAAGTATAATAAAATGACGTAATTTTCAATCTTATTTATTTATTCTTTTGCACACAAAATTATATACAAGGTGGTACAAATTTTGTGTGAGGTGCGATTCAACCGATGCGACTGGTGGGCTGATAATAAGCTGGTACAATTTAGTAATGTTATATCTAGTGCCGTTTCACCTGCGTTAAATTTTAATAAAAAATATAGCCTATATGTTATTCTGATGCATAAGTTATATTACTGTAAAGTTTCATCAAAATCTGTTCAGAACAAACACAACACTGACAAACATCCATACTCACAAACTGTCAGGATTATAATTTTAAGAAACATATAAACATATTAACATACCCATATAAAATAAGTAGATTATATACAAATTAAATATAAAATCTAATATGGCTGCGTTAAGAAGCTTATCTTTATGATTTTCTTTTACTATCCATTTATTATTATCAAACTATTATAAAGGAAACACTAAATACTTTTTTAATACAACAGGCCATGGAGTCCAAAACGAAAGTCAGGGGTCCAACGGGTTTCGTGACGGAACCCCGTATGGCAGAGCATCGGTGTCTTTGGGATGACAAGTACCCAGAGTGTCCAGAGAGATTGATTGGTGTTATTGACAGGTGTGACCAGCGTTACGTTTTATATTAATTAAACTAACTGTGTTGGCAGTTGCAAAACATTACGAAGTATCTTATGGATAATAATGAAATGGTGCACCTACTGCGCTAAAAGTTTACGTTGGCGGGACACCAGTGGAGGATGATAAGATGAGAATGAGGTCAGGTCCGTGGTATTGAATTAAATGGATTTGTCACAATGTTATTCAGGGGGAACCAGGTGGATTTCAACATGGTACATTGCTAGCAATGGGGTTATTAGTCCACATTATTACCCCCCCCCCCCCTCACGAAGTATCTGGTGTTCTGAAAACTAATTAACAAAATTAAGCATTTTGTTATATACCAATATGAAAATTGTATTCAAACCGGTTAAATCGTTTCTGAGATTAGCGGAAAAAAATAGAGGCGAAAATTCTATTTTTAACGTTCATAAATAGGTACTAAATGGTACAAGGTAAAAAAAAACTTGATAAAATCTTTATTGTAGGATTCTAATAGTGATAAAAAACAAATATTTTTCTCTTTATATTATTAGTGTAGTTATACGTAACAAAACATTCGTAATAGATACGCATTAATATTTTTTTTATTGTGTGGGAATTGATATTGTGCGTACAAAAACTTAGTGTACTTTTCACAGATGCCGTGAACTGAATTTAATTGAGCAATGTGTGGAGTTCGAGCCCCGGGCAGCTACTAAAGAAGAGTTGAATGTTCTACACTCACCATCCGTTTATGACATGCTGGAGACAACACACAACAACAACGATCTCGAATACCTCGAAGATGTATCATCTAAATATGATGCCATATATATACACCCTGTAAGTTCAATATTGATAATTTTAAGTACAAAAAAATTGTTTATTACAAAACTAGTATTGCATTTACGAAATAACTGGGAGAGAAACAAGATAAAAGATGTCATACGGTGAAAGCCACAGGAGCTAAATATAATGACGACCTCTGTGGTCTAGCGGTTTAGCACACCTCTTTACTTCCGATGGTCCCTGGTTCGATTCCTCGCAAGGTGCAAAAATTGTATTCATGAGAATGATTGTATATCATGTATGTACAAGAAAAATATAGCTAAGTATTTATACCTGTTTACCTTGGGACTAGATGGCGCTGTGTAAATTATCCAGATAAAAGCTATTTTTTTGCAATTAATTTAGCAGCAATTGTTATTATGATAATTTTTAACCATAGAGTACCCACGAGCTGGCGCTTCTATCAGCCGGCTCGACCATAGATATGGTTGATCGCATAGTATCAGGCGAGGTACAGAACGGCGCAGCTATGGTCCGGCCGCCCGGGCACCATGCTATGCGCGCAGAGCCTTGCGGGTACTGCTTCTACAACAATGTCGCGCTTGCCGCCAAGCATGCCATAGACAAGCGAGGACTCAAAAGGTTTGTTCCATTTTCATAAAATGAAATTTTCAAAAATCCGCCACCAATGAATTATTAGTATATTCACTTGTGGCGGATTTTCGTAGCGAGATTTTCGCATCACTCTACATTTCCAAAATATCCATATATCCAAATCAGCATTTCAACTAGAATACATAATATTAGTTTTAATTAATTATTTAGTATTATTATAATTATATAGTCTATTTTTTAGAACAACGTAAATATACTACCCCATATTTTTGTAGAAATGTGATTATAAATATATATTTTAAATAAGATTGGACCATGGAGGTTTTAATACATTATTATGGGATGCTTAAGTAAGTTTAGTTAAGTCACATTAAAATATTGGTATGTTCTTAAGTAAATTTTAGTTAGACAGGTCGTCCTTCAAAGTATACTGCATTAGAAATAATTAGTTCCGAGTTAGAAGTAAGTACTATAAGTTAAGAACTTTTTAGTGTTATATATGCACAACTATTGCAACAATATTTTATTACAGGATATTAATAGTGGATTGGGATGTACATCACGGTCAGGCCACCCAGCAGATGTTTTACGACGATCCCAGGTAATCTGATTTAACAAATATATTTTGTATATACATATATCCCGTGCGATCGATCCCCCGTCCAATTCAAATGGGGATCGAAATTACAACGGCCTGAGCCGAGGTTTAAATCCCTAGCGGTGCCCTCAGACTAAAGTCGTATCCGTCAGGCGGGAGTTGGTCTTCAGCCGCTTCATAAGTCACTCAGTTAATTCTTTGAGCTCATTATTAGACAAAAAAGCTGCTGTTTCTTGGACTATTTCCTCGACTTCTTTCCATTATGTTCCGAATTGTCGGGTTGAAATAAACGAGCGCTTACCGAAACAGCGTTAAGCAGGGTCTTACTTTATATAGAAAGCACTCAGACCGACAGTAAGATGTTTAGCGATTAAAATAAGCAAGACGATTGCCCACATAAACAACTACTTACTCTGTGCCTTACCTTGGATCTGTACAGTGATTAGTCTATGATATATTTATAAATAATTTATTTCCAGAGTGGTATATTTCTCCATACACCGATATGAGCACGGGTCCTTCTGGCCCAACCTACGGCATTCGAACTTCAACTACATCGGCACCGGAGCAGGAAAGGGGTATAATTTCAACGTACCACTGAACAAAACGGGTATGAAGGACGCGGACTACCTTGCTATTTGGCACCAGTTGCTGTTGCCAATGGCTTTAGAGGTGAGCTCTTCGATGACAAAGATATATGTAGTTAGAGTTTTTGATGAAGCCTTTAAGGCTACTTATTAAGATATTGAAAACGTACAAGAAAATAGCTTATTGCTTCTTAAAAGGGCGGCAACAAACTTGCCTTTCCCCTGCTGTTGCGCGTGCTCATGGGCGACGTTAATCACTTACCATCAACTGATCTGTAAGCTCGTTTGTCCTCGATGCTACAAATAAAAAAGTCGACAACATCGGTGCCATGTCAAACTGTTCTTTATATTATTATCGACTATCAAGCCGCCCAGGCTTTACTTTGGTAGTAGAACTTAATATTACAAAATTGCATGCGTACACAGATTTAACGCTTAACTGCTTTAAATGCGTATACACATTATGTTTGTTTATTTGTTTAATTACAAGTATATACCCTCACAAACTATACTTAAAATTGTTACAACTGTTTAAGTAAATAAATTTAGTTTAATTAATTACATATACGTAATATTAATACCTATATAGTTCAATTCATTTCATTTCCAATTATTATACTGATATAATTAATTTCATTTGAATTGATATTCACATATCTAAACACTCAGCCAGGAATTACTATATTGAGAGTTGAAAACCGCATGAAAAATCATTTAATAGTTTTTGGGATAATCGATAATATTTGATACAGACGAGGCAGGGCAATGTTTTATGTGTATATTTGGGCGCTTTTATATTTCCATCCTTCAGTATGATGTTCACTTACGATTTCATGATTCACGATACGAAGACTTCACTTCACTTTCTCTTCACTCTTCTAAATTTTCTTCGACGGTAATTGTACCATCCTTAGTAGCAATTATAAAAGCCTCCAATATTTATTACTTAATTAATTAATTTTTTTTTTTGCGCTACCATTAGCATGTGTGAGATCACAAATATTCAGTGCGGAAACCTGATCACTGCTACTGGATGCGTTATAACCTCTATTAGTGATCAAATTTCGCCAGTTATTTAATCTAGATCTATATTGTTTTTATAAAAGCATGTTGTAAGTGTAATATGAATAACATTCATTTTTCTCTTTTGTCCATCAACACCAGTATCAACCGGAACTCATACTCATATCCGCCGGGTACGACGCTGCGATCGGCTGCCCAGAGGTACAGCATCTCTTTCTAAATATGTATTATAATGTCGCTGTATTTTCAGTTTTCACCCGAACTTATTATCATCTCAGCTGGGTATGACTCCGCATTGGGCGATGAAAAGGTATGATTTCAATATAGTTGGAGAAGTGAAAATTTTGACTTAAAATGTGTATAATTTCTTACCTTTACTAATTAGCGAGAGTGTAGTGGCTTACAACCTGTTGTGGTTTACTCCGATTTGTTTTCTGGTTTCGACTTACTGCCGATTTACTAACCTTTAACACGGAAACAATTAAATAATTAAATGTTACCTCTATAATATTAGTATAGATAATTTAAGTTTAAACTAGCTGTACCCGCGCATTTAACTAGTTTGAAAATTATAGCCTATATGTTATTTAGATCAATGAGTGACATTACTATAGAGTTTCATCACCCTCGTTAACTCACATCATTAACTCGTTCACACAAAAACTACTGAATGGGTTTTAATGAATTAAACTTTACAAGAATATATATACATTAGATTAACACACATAGGCTATACATTGCACACGGGTGACACCGCGGGCACGGCTAGTTAATTTATACTCGCAAACTTTCACGCGTATAATATTAGTAAGGTTAACAGTATGTGGTACAGGAGTTTAAGAGCAAAGTGTGTATACCAGGGGGAGATGGAGGTGACGTCAGCGTGCTACGCGGCACTGACGCACCAGCTGGCGGGCGTGTGCAGCCGCGTGTGCGCGGTGCTGGAGGGCGGGTACTGCGTGCCGTCGCTGGCCGACGGCGCCGCCCTCACGCTGCGCACGCTGCTCGGCCTCCCGCCGCCGCCCATGCAGGCCCTCACCGAACCCTCAGACGAGTAAGGCCTTTTTAAGTCATTTCTCAAGTTTTTTATAGCGTAGGACAAGAAAGAAGAAGCTCACAGACTTCATTTTTTTATTCCACTTTAAAAAAAGATTGTGTAGACAAACGAGCTTGCAGCGCTTATGTATTTTTTATTAAGTAGCTTTAAGTACTAACAGATGACTTGATGGTAAAATTAGGTTACGAAAAAAAAATCTATGTATTTGTATCAGTTTTCTAGTACCCATAACACAAGCTTTAGCTAGCTTAACTTGAGTCTAGATGGCACTGTGTGAATTGTCCTGATGTTATTGTTATAATAGTTTTTTAGGACATTATAATTTCTTTCCAGAATCCGAGAGACAATACTGAATTGTATATATGTACAAAAGCCATACTGGCAGTGTTTTAACTACCAGCCAACGTACAGCATCGACACGTCGATACCGAACGTGTGTGATGGAGAGAAACAGAAACATACGGTGTCCGTGAGGTGGGAAGGAGACGAGACGAGACCTGATAAGTTCGCTACGAGGGACTGCTATCCATTACAGGACGACGCCACAAAGAAACGAAACGCTGAAAGATTAAATCATTTAAGATTAGGTTAGTAATCTTATAGTGGGTTTTAAAAGGACTAAAGCAAGCTATCTAATTAATATTACAAACTTTTGTTTTTCGGAATACATACTCTAATGCTGTTGGTCTCAGCGCATAGATGCATGAATATTTGTTTATGATGAAACTTTACAGTAATAACAGCCTTTTTTATTTCTCTAGAGCATTCCTGCACCCTCTACCACTTTCTATCTTCTCTACCCAAAGATTGTCTGGAAGAGATTGCTTACGCGATAAGACCGCCTTTTGTGCCTTATTACTTATTATGTTCTTTGTAATATACTTCTGGTGCAGTAAAGAGTAAATAAATAAATAATAAAGCTTATACATCAGAATAACACATAGGCTGTAAATGTCATGCGGCTGAAACTGCGGGCATAGCTAGTATGCATATATAGATATATATATATACACACACATGTTAATTCTGAACAGTACGAGACTACATTGATAATTGCACTCTTTAGGTAGAATTCATCTTTTCGCGATTTGCTTTTGACTATAAAACTCATATAGTTCATACAGACATTAACTGCGTGAAATAGGGCGAACACAATAGTCTATGTAGGTCACAGTGCTACAGGTTTTAACACCTGACAATAGCCCAAATACATCAATTAATAAAAAACATCTCAGCGCGTTAATAAAAATATTACTACTTGTTGTAACAACTTCTAGTCGCATACAACGAGAGTAACTGTCTTATAAGTAAGTAAGAATCGATCTGTCTCATCAGACATTGTTACAATTGCTTCAAAGCGTCCGCCATATGCACCTTTATTTATGTATTTGTGTATTGAAATTTTAAATGTGGCACTAAAAATTTTATTCAAACAATGGACCGACCGACAATGATTCGACCTAAATCACAGTACCATATACTTGATTATTTGGTTGATCTCATAGCAGAAATAACGCCTATCCAAACTAATATATGGTTCTTTTTCCAGTGACGGATCTTTCAATACCATCATACCCAGTGGGTTATATATACGACGAGGCGATGCTGAAACATAAAAATATATGCGAGCCGTGAGTAAACTTTATTTATATGTATTATTATAATTTACGCACGATGGATATGAAAAACAAAATGAATTCCAGAGTCTTTATCGCCTATTCTACTCAACATATCATTTGTCTCGCTCTCACAGTCCTGCTAAATGTCATTCATCTCTCTTTTCTATCATGACTAAAATTTGGCCACTGATTTTTTTTTATTTTAAACTTTTCGCATGCTAATTAAAAATTATAACATTATACTCATTATTTGGATTATATTAAGAGGCAGAAAAATCAAGAGAGAAAGGCAAAGAAAGGAAGGTGGTTAGAATATAAAAATAATGAATCCCTTGTTCTAAGTTGGAGTTGGCAAAGTATATTTTTTTAATGTTTTGATATAAAGGGTGTAGAAACCACCATAGAAATATCATTATGTAACAGTTCTTTTCTGCTCTATCTTTTAAGAGATATAATCATCTGTTTTTGTAGCTATAATAAAAATAATGCCACAAGTTTCATTTTTATAGACCTTGTTAGTGGCTCTGTTTTTCTTATTATATTCAATATTACGTTATATTAAATTGAGAGGATGTGCAATTTCCAATCGTATGCTGAGACAATAAGTGTCGTTTCAGCGGACACGTGGAGTGTCCGGAGCGCATCATGCGTATCCACGAGCGGCACCGCAACTACGGGCTGCTGTCACGTGTTCACCAGCTGCAGGGACGCCGCGCTACCGACGAGGAAATACTCGCCGTGCACACTGAGAAACATCTCGACAGGTAACTACACTTAACCTACTTAAAAAAGTACTAAATAAATAACCCTGGATAATTAAGACAGCGCCATCTAGTCCCACTGTAAGCACAGCTTGTGCTATGGGTGCTAGATAACTGATATAATTAAATACTTAGGTATTTTTTTATAAATACATACATAATACACATAGTAATCACCCAGACCTACATAAACAATCATACTTATGAATACAAATGTTTGCACCGTGCAAGGAATCGAACCTGCGTCTGTCGGAAGTAAAGCGATGTACTAAACCGCTCGACCTGGCCTTTACAGCTTCAACAGAGGGATAGGGGGCTACTGCAGATGGCACCCCTAACCCGCGCAAGGATTTATGGAGTGACTGAAAGCTCCTTCTAGCTATTCTCATATATATCAATGTATGAGAATAGCTTTTATGAATGAATTAGTGTTTTACCTAACCTTATTATTAAACCTTGAAATTATTAAATTTACCTAACCTTGTATTGTTTTCTAGATTAAAAGACTTAGCTACAACGAAGCTTAGAGATCTGAATACTCAGAAGGACGATTTTGACTCGGTCTACTTCCATCCAGACTCATTGGAAAGTGCAGCCGTGGCCACGGGCTGCGTTTTAGAGGTATTTATCACAATTTCTTACATTATTACCACAGTTAAGTTTATATGTAAAGCACTGATAGCAGTCTCGTAATATTTGTAATTGTTCAAAAACAATTTCATTTAATTAAATTAATAATTTTTAATCGGTTTCTATTTAAATATTTAATCATCATAATTTGCATATACAAATAAAATATTAAATAAAATATTGTACAATTTATTTATTACTTTAGAATTTGAGTTTAAAGCAAAGTTTCTATGGTACAATTGAAATTCCATTATTGAATGATAATTTAACAGGAATAATTTAAATTTATAAAAGCATTCGTCCTTATTGTCTATATTGACCTTTGTTTATATGTCCTTATAGACAACTAGCTGACCTGGCAAACGTTGTTTTGCCATATAAATAACTTTTAAGTAATTTCTAGCTAAAAAAAAAAAAAAAATTTAGGGTTGGACTACTCCTACCATTTAAGGGGATGAAAAATAGATGTTGGTCGATTCTTAGACCTACTCAATACGTTCACAAAATCTCATGAGAATCGGTCAAGCCGTTTCGGAGGAGTATGGGAACGAAAACTGTGACATGAGAATTTTATATATAAGATAAGGATAGTTTTAGTAGAAAATATCTGGAAAGCTAAAATTTGGGAGATAAATGTGTGTGTGTGAGCGCGCGTGTGTGTGACCTTGTCAAGTGTTCAATAGTATAGGTAGTGTAAGATTATATCCCATCACAAACATAAATGTGAAATGATAGCCGAGTTTAATATTATGATATATGCCTTGATTGTTGACTTCTGAAAGAGATGAGATCTAAATGGGTGCCAAGTTCAATGGTCTGTCCTGAAATGTATTTATAACAATATAAAATATCATTTCTTCTTATAACTTAGGATAATATACTGTAGCCTAAGGTCTAAATTGGCCAGTTCTCATATACCAATTATTACTTTCGATTGCTAGTTACTATTAATATTAAAATAGGAACCGACAAGTAACATGTTTAGAACTTGCGAAGGCTACAGTATATGAAATTTGGAACACATATTTATCTCGCAAGTCTCAATATATGAACCAAATTTGACAGGTTTGTGTGAAAGAGTTTTTGAGTTATGAGGGGGTCAAAAGTGGCTCCAAATGGTTCGTGTAAATATACACACGGTGCTGCAGGCCAGTTTACTTGAAACTCGGCTTGACACGCTACCGCGTGTCTAGATTACTGAAAACTGAATACAATACGTGCGTTGCGTGCGTATGTGCGGATGGTGGACGCGGTGGTGTGCGGCGCGGCGGGGAGCGGGTCGTGCGTGGTGCGGCCGCCCGGGCACCACGCGGCGGGCGGCGCGCCGCGCGGGTTCTGCCTCCTCAACAGCGCCGCCGCCGCCGCCGCCCGCGCGCTGCGCCGCCACGCGCTCTCCAGGGTGCTGCTCCTCGACTGGGACGTGCACCACGGCGACGGCACGCAGCGCCTCACCTACCACGACCGCAGGGTACGACCACCACTATATTCACTAACCCATCGCATATGATGTACTCACTCACGCGGACGGCCTTCGATAGTCCAGAAAAAAATAAAGGAAATATTCTTCGTTAAAAGTTCCTCGCTTGTTGAAGTAAGAGGACAAATGATGGATATATCACGTAATTGATGTTTTTCCTCTGTATCATTCTACCGGGAGCCATGTGACTCGTAGACTTTGTTGAAGGTCATTCGCTTGAGGATATAACATTGATGACATATCAGCTGAGATAATCGACAAATTTCGGCTAGCCGCAAAGCAGCTTCTTTAGCTGTGTACGGAAAGCATAACATCCTGATACTCCGGAATGCATGAAGGACAATAAGGACGTTACATAAATAAATAAATATGTGACGGTATTACAAATAGAAGGACCGGCATGTTTGTGCCATACGAGGAGTCGAATCCGCGACCGTCGGAAGTACAACTGTGTGCTAAACCACTAGACCACCGAGGCCGTCATCAATTGGCATTAGAAATTGTCATGATTCAGTACATTATTATTAATCTATTTATTTCCCTGTTTCAGATACTATACATGTCAATACACCGGTACGACGGCGGCTCGTTCTTCCCCCACTCTAAAGAGGCTGACTACACGGCAGTGGGCGAGGGGCACGGGGAGGGGTACAACGTCAACATACCCTGGAACAAGGTAATGACACTTCACCTCAGGGTCACCTCGTACCTGTATACCGCACTCGTTTACTTATAGAATGGTTTTATTTCAAAAACCTACGTGCATGCTTGCGAACGTGTACAGAAAAAAATGTACAAAAGACAAGCTTCATGCCATATGGCATTCTAACCTTTAGGTTGAAATAGAAAGCGTTATTGTGTCTATATTATGTAAAAACCTAAAAAATATATATGTACATATATAACTAAGTTATACAAATATATTATATATATTTATTAATGTAATATATTTCGTATGCAGCGCGGGATGGGTGACCCGGAATATATGGCAGCGTTCACACAAGTGGTGCTGCCAATCGCGTACGAATACAACCCACAGCTGGTCATCGTGTCCGCCGGCTTCGATGCATGCGTCAGCGATCCACTTGGAGGTAATCTTGAAACAAAATAATATCGTGACCTTAACTAATACGTTTATATATTATACCGAATTACTTTTATTTATGACACTAAATATATGCTCATTCATCTGAAAATATAGTAAAAATGTAAACACTTCGAGTACAACACTCTACATAAGTACATCGCGACATAACGGAACTAGAGCATAAACACCTGAACGAGAGCTCCGGAAAGGCATCATTAAAAGAAGCAGATCAAGGACGAGTGTATAACATAAAATGAGCAAAAAAAGGCACCAGTATAGTCACAAATATTTTAGTGACTAATTTCATATATAAAACAATATAGTTATTATAAAAAACATAGACAATAAAAAAGATACATAAAACAGTTTGTAACAGCATCGAGCGTGCATCCGTGAGGGTGCATCAGCAACTATTTTTTTTTATTAAACTAAGTACAGCTCGACGACACTCGATCAATAATGCTGTATTACATTAAATTTATTGTGCACCCATATTGCATGTTCTATGGGTGACTAAAGTTGTTGAGTGATTAAGGTTATTTATTTATTTGCGATAGGTTGCAACGTGTCGCCTGAATGCTTCGGCAGAATGACGCACTTCCTCCGTGGTTTGGCCGGTGGCCGCGTCATACTTTGCCTTGAGGGTGGTTACAATGTCACCAGCATCTCGTACGCTATGACTATGTGCACCAAAGCCCTCCTCGGTGACCCGATCCTCCAAAATTATGAAAACAAACAGACCCCGCATTGGTCAGCCATAGAAACCATAAACAATGTTATCAAAACACAAAAGAAATACTGGAAAAATCTTAAATTCCAAATAGCTTTACCCGCGGAGAATGTTCTAGAAGAACCATTACCATCTAGAGGATTGGTTGTATCTGATGAACATAACAGTACAAATGATAAAGTAGAAGTATCACTATCCAGCACCATAGAGAGTCAATCGGATCGTTCATTAGAAATCAATATGGCGAATTTGAGCATAGACAAACCGAAGTGCGCGGATGGTATTCACTGTGGTACAGATGATGAAGAGGACAAACCAGAGAGTTCTAGTGATAGAAAAGAAAATAAATCCGAAGGAAGTACAAGCACAAATGCTGGGAATACATTAGTCGATTACTTAGCTGAGAATATGCAAGCTTTAGTTGACGGCGAGATGTTTGCAGTGGTTCCTTTAACTTGGTGTCCCCACTTAGAGTCACTATATGCGATACCGAATGATGTGAAGTTTGAACAGGGAGTCAAATGTGTTGACTGCGAGGAGACGGCGGAAAATTGGGTGTGTCTACACTGTTATGTGGTAAGTATTTAGGGAAATTATTCGATCTTTGTAAATACAAAAGTATAATAGTATGGTTTGATACTACTTCTTTAATAAATACTTTTTCTGTTTTTCTTTAAACCAAACTTAAGACCTAATTCCTAATTATCTTATTAATATTATAAACGCGAGAGTTTGTGAGTATGGATGGATTGATGGACATTTGTTACTCTTTCACGCAAAAACTACGGGACGAATTTTGATGTAACTTTATGTTAATATAGCTTATACATTAGAATAACACATAGGCTATAATTAAAAAAGATATTATGTAAATTGGGCGAAATGTAATTATAAATGTTAAGTAAGTGTAATGCAGATGAAGTTGCAGTCATCCAAAATCATAATAATATATATATATATGTATATATTTGATACCATTTATATTGCAAACAGGGTCTTAAGTAGTCTTAACTCTAAAAAAATTATGATAAATAAAGGAATTTACCTCTCTCGACGTTTCTACTACGTTACGGTAGCTGTGGTCACGAATTGACTGGTGTAACAGCGATGTCAAACAGATACCTTTAATTGCTATAAAATGATTCGTGTTAAGACCCGATTTACAATATAATAAAATGTACATTTTATACTACCTTTTGTATTGTGTGCATAGAACTTAAATAAACAATGTATATTAAACACGAAAGTTTAAAAATAAAAATATATATGTTCAGACGGCGTGCGGGCGCAGTATCCGCGGTCATATGCAGGCTCACTACGCCAGCACGCAGCACGCACTCGTGCTGTCGCTGCTGGATCTGTCAGTTTGGTGCAACACTTGTTCGGCATACGTCGACAACGCTCTACTCTACGACGCCCGGAACAACGCCCACCGCTGTAAATTCGCGGAGGATATGCCTTGGTGCTACAACACTGATACCATACAAATGACCTAGTATCTCCCTCTCTTTCTCACTATATATCTCCTTCTGTCACTCGCAGTGAGCTAACACAGTGTAAGTCTACATAGAGCAAGAAAATATTCAAGAGACGTACATACGACTAAAAGTGAGGCGGCATGCTTAAGAAAATAATTGCAATTGTATTACACACACATTTGTATTTATCGAAAAGGTGTTGCCAGAGTTGAAATAAATCACTTAGAAATATTAATCTAATAATTAATTTAAAACATTGCTCTTTTATTTATTTACATAAGAGTTTATTGAATAAATATACTACATATAAAAAAAACGGTAACCGATTAAAAAAATTAACACCTTAATTTTTAGAACATTAGCTTTACTTTAGTTGTATGTTACCCTTTGATTTTTTTCTTTCTCATAAAATCTCATATTTTATTGATCTGTGAATAGTTAATAGAGATAGCACAGTCTTAAAATCTAATTTGACTTAGAATCATTAATAGAAATAAATGATAGAAAAGCAGTCAATGCTGACATTTAAGAAATTACTCTATGGTGCTATAGAAGATTCTAGTTATTAAACTGTTAATAGATCCAGTATTCCAACTTACTAAAACATTGTTGTGCAATCTTTATACTTTAAAAAATTGGTTCGCTTGTAGTGACGTTTCTTGAGAATATAAAGTTTACAACTAACTGTGGGTAATGTGAATAATCACTGTCAAATCAAAATAATAACCACCCAAGCGGGCCAAGTTAATATTATTTCTGTGTTATTAGCACAAAGCACAAATGTAAAATCAGTTTAGCACATTAATTAATCACATTAAACACGTTCTTTAATAATTAATCATATACTTACTTACTGTAAGAATTCAAGTAACTAATATAAAGTATGACGACTAAATGTGAAATAGAATAAACAATAATTTTGATAACAGTATCAGGCTCCAAGGACCTTATATATTTTTTTTATTTTATTTTTTAATATAATGATTCTAACTTATGTTTTTTTTACAAAAGGGTTTTTGTAATATTCTCTATCATTCCAATCGATAATTAGATATGAAAATATTCGAATTTAGTGCAGAGTCACAAAATAAATACTACCTATAAAATTTAGTACAACTAAAAGCCATTTTGCGCACTTATTACATTTGCACTTTAGTTATCTATAAGTACACACAGCCATAATAATATGATACATCTATTGTACATTCAGTGGCGAAGTGCAATACATTATATGTCGTTATTTTAACGGTTCGCTAAAGTCATTTTTACATTTCGCCTCGTACGTGTTTTCTAGTTTGAGTGTACCTACTAATAACTGTATATTCTATGTAAATACTCATGTATACATTGTGTATATTTATTTATTTTATATATTTAATAAGATTTTTTTAAATATTGTTTTACTAATAAATATGAATGTCATACAAAATTGATTTTGGTTATAATGATAAATAATTATGTATGTCTCCATGCCATGTTTTTAAGGAGAATAAATAAATATATTGTACTTTTCATAAAGTATATATGTATGGAAATTTGCTTGACAATAAATCAGTAAAATATTCATAATGTGGTATTGTGATGTAAAAAAGGACATTAAATCTATAATTTCAGTAATTCCTGTATTATCTGACATTTTATTTATTATTTTTTAACTATTACCTAGCGCGCTTGTTTAGAAATAAAGTAACTCACTTAGGGTTTCCTAGAACTATTTTTTTTAATGTATTGTCATGGTTTTTCTAATTAATACATACAATATAATATTTCTAAATACATAAAACAATTTTGATGATTCAGACTTAACTTTTTTTATATGTAAGGAGGTTTAAATTATTTAATTAGAATGCACTCTAGTCTGAGATTATTGTATGGATTTATACGCCATACTGTTTTCAAATCTTATTACCAAGTCGAGTGTTCAACCGCAACTACAGTTTATGAACGACACCACATTTCGTCTTCATAATATGCTGTATTATGTAACACTGTTTTAATAGTTTATTATAATATAATAAATATAAAACTGTAGTACTGCATGAACCATACAAACCTATTTGTTTAGTTCGTAACTGCAACCGTGTGTAGATCGTTCGTGTACAATTTCAGAAACATTCAATTTCAATCTGTTTCAAGTAAGCAATTATTATTAGTAAGCAATTGCAACGTTTCATAGTCAAGCCTTCATAGTCAAGATTGTTAATATATATACTGATAGTATATGTACTGCCGAAGCACGTACACTATTATCAGAATTTTTACAAATATTCAGTGCAGAAACCTGACCACCGCTACTAGAAGCGTAACAATCTTCTCTATTAGTGAACATATTCTGATCGTTATTTGATATACATCCATATAGCGACACTTGTTTGGCTTCTAAACGAAGCATCATGAAGCTATGAATAAAGCTTGCACATTTGGGAGCCTAGTGTTGGTGTGTATATGTAATGTTGTTGTGCCGCTCAAATTTCGCTGATCAAACTGAATAATTGTTAATAGTAGCGGAATTAAACAAAATTGTATAAATTAATTAAATTCGTATTTACAATTTTTTTTAAATATATTAATAGCTTTAATTCCCGATCCAATTATTTTACTATTAAAAATGATAATCATGGAATAAATGTTATTAGGTCTTATTAACTGATGTAGTTTCGGTAACAATTTAAACCGATTTAAACCGAAACCAAAAGTTTGGTCATAACTCTTGTACTTTAATTAATAATAAAAAGTTTTGATAGTTATAAATTAGATAATAATCCAGTACTCAAATTTAATGTACTTATTGCACAATACTATGACATTAACATATAAGTTTAATTGTACTTTGATATGGAATTAACTCAGGAAAAAAAGAAATGGGAAGTAGACTCTAAAGCTATAAATTTAATGTTCATTTCCCTAATTTGTTTTTTTTTTATTAATTCAGTTCAGTATTATACATGCCATTAACTTAACGCGTTTCACAACTAATAGCAATGCTATAATTATGGTAGGAAAATTCACATACTTCAAAATTCGCGTCTATATTAAGTGACGTCACGATTATTCCCGCTGTTTTTTAAAGTGTACTTATTTGTTTAATTTTTATACTATGACCTTAGGATTAGTTTGCAATAGAAAATATTTTTGAAAGAGACTATGTCGCTGCTATGAAAGTATAGAATTGTAAAACAGCATAGGAAGATTTGTTATTGTTAATAAAGTAATATTAATTTAATTTTTTCTTTGTAACTTTGAATATTAAGTATTATAGTTTATTTCTGCAACGAATATGGTACCGAATTTTAAAAAGATGTTTTTCTAGTGGTAATTGAATATCTATGCTGTAACAGTATTATAACTTATAAGTCCAGAATTGTAAATGGAGATCAAGAACAGTACACGCCGGGTCTACTCTAGACACGAATATATCTCTATTCTCCATTCGATCCTCCGCCTAATTCAAGCGGCGAATGAAATTACGACGGCCTGAGTACCAGACCACTAGCGGTACCCTCAGACTGAAATCGTATCCATCAGCCAGGAGTTGGCCTTCAGCTGCTCCATAGGTTATTCCGCGGGTTGGAGTGCTATCTGAACTCCCCTATCGTTCGGTGCGTTGTAAATGCCAGGTGCGGCCAACAGCATTAAACTATTTTAATGCCGTTGTTCGCAGCTTAGTTATACAACCAATCCAATGACATTAAATTCCCTACCATTTTATAATTCAGAATTGTATTTTAGAATAATTTCTATGTTTGGATTTCTATGAAACAATTTCTATGAATTAATGCACTGACATTGCTGTGGATTATTTTGGTTTAGTTTTTATTATTACATTGCATTTTAAATGTACATTGTATTAATTAAATGTTATAATTTAAAAATATATATATGTATTAAAAAAAATTACAAAGTTATAATAAAGATATTACATTTCTGTACTGTACTACAATAATGGATTGAAATGGATACTGAGATTTGATTCTAGAGTAGACCTGCTGTCTATGAAAGTCAAAATTGTAAATTATTAGCACATATTTTAATATTTTTGGGAGTTCATTTTTATTATTGTACTATATTGTTATAAAAGTTGCAATTTAATTAAATTACACTTTGAAGTGAATATGTTGGTAAGTGTGTGTTTTGATATAAATATTTCAAATCAATGAGTAACAAGATTTGCGATTCATTAATATGTTAATTATTTGAAACTTGTAGTTATAAACTAATTTATACAGTAGAAACTTTTCAATAACCCATAAAATATCGCAAAAGTATAGGTACATTTTGTTCTGTTGTAAATATAACTGTGTTATATAAATTACGGTTGTTTAAACATTATTTATTGATTTGAAAATACTATCAGTCCTTAACTACAGCAGATGTTATTGTATGTTTCATGTGTTATTTTTAGAAAATAATTGGCAGTATTTTGTGCCAAACAAATTGCTCATAAATTGTAAAATGTATTATTAACAAAACAATAATAAAGTCATATCAAGTTAACCAATTTTGTGTATCAATTAAAATCTCAGATATAGTCAAATTAATAAATGTATTCCATAATTTAATCTCTTGTTTTATGACACGTTTTCAGCTAAATTAAAAAACAAAGTCGCTGTCGCTGTCCGTCCGTCTCTATGCTTAAATCTTTAAAACTACGCAACGGATTTTGAAGCGGTTTTTTTAATAGATAGACTGATTCAAGAGGAATGTTCATATGTATATTACATGTACACCCGAGCGAAGCCGGGGCAAGTAGTTAGTAACATATATATGGTACTTATTCATACGCAGAGCAGTCGTTACAAAGAACATAATGTTGTTACAGTATTACAGGCCGGAGGATTTTAAAGATAGTGCCAAAAATATTAGTGCAGGATAGAGATGGAGAATTAATAAATAATTTGTTTTTAATTTATACTAAACATTTTGGTCATTTACTCTGAGTAATAAAAAAAAATCATTCTATCAAAATAAAATGTCAATATATACAGCATTCTTCAATGGATCAGTTGAAAAAAAAATATTTATAAAACAACCTGAAGGTTACAACGATGGTACAGAGTTTGCCGTTTGAAAAGAAGTCTATATGGACTTAAACAGGCTCCACGTGGCTGGAATACTTGTATACATGAGTTTTTAATCAATTCTAAATTCATACAGAGCCAGTCTGATCCTTGTTTATACATTAGAAAGAATGGCTTATCTGAAGTGATTATTGGGTTATAATATGTTTATGATGGATTGGTAGCGTCAATATCAGAGAACGAAAGAAAGAAATTTCTTGAAGAGTTACAAAAACGCTTTAAGATCACGACAAAGCTTGCAAGTTACTTTCTAGGACTTGAACTAGAAAGATCTAATGAAGGATATATAACATTAAGTCAGAAAGTCTATATAAAGAAATTACTAGAAAAATTTCGCATGTCTGACTCCAAACCGGCTTTAACTCCAATAATAAAGGAAAACAGTAAAGATACGTCTCTAGATGAAAGCAAATTTCCTTATCGCCATGTAGGCACCGTCATATTTAATGGTAGGGACAAGAGTTACGCAGTGAGTGTTGCCTCCAGAAATTTAGAAAAACCAACAAAACAGGATGTTATTGGAGTACAAAGAATACTTCGCTACCTGAAAGGATCAGTAGGTAAGGGGCTAACATTTAAGACTGATATCACAGGAAATTTAAATTGTTACAGTGATGCAGATTTCTCTGGTGATCAAGAAACTTGTCATTCTACCACAGGAATAATATGCCTTTACTCAGGGGCTATAAGTTGGAAAAGTCAAAAACAAGAAATTGTAGCCTTATCTTCGACAGAGGCTGAACTTATAGCTGCTAGTGAGACACCCCAGGAAATTATTTGGCTAAAAGAGTTACTATCTGAATTAACGCTAAAAGCTAGACAAGCAACCAATTCTCTATGTGGACAATGAATCTGCAATAAAATTAGCTCACAACCCTGCATATATTATAAAAGGACAAAGCATATCAAGCGGAATCATTTTTATGTCAGGGAATGTGTAATGGACGGGCATCTATTAGTGAAGCATGTCTCATCGGAACATCAACTAGCCGACATGTTCACGAAGCCACTCTAGTATATTCTTTGCACTCTACAGACCAAGATTAGAAGGACTGTCCTCACACATTGGAATGAGTAGCAGCAGCTATAAAAAGTAGACGGGATGTTAGGGGTAAGAGTTGTAGATGTACGACCTAATTGTCTGTGTATCGATGACGATGTCTTTGCTTAGCATCTTGTTGATTGTAATATCTTTTTATGCTGCTTATTATAGGTATGTACTGAATAATTAATATTGCTTTTTGTTCTCAACTTTAATAATATATGTGTATTTTTGAATTATTATTTTGATTTATATTATTATGTGTATTTTTCCAACAATTTCCAACTCTCCTGATCCTGTAATCCTATTTCTAAATTACTACTCATTTTTTAATACGAGTCGATTGCCATAACTTAAAAAAAAAAACTAGAAAATGGCTAATGGCTACACAAACCGCCGGAGCCAAAAGAAGAAAAAAAAATGTAATCTGATCAATTTAAATTATTCAATATTTAAAGTTTTAATTCCGCTGAATTTGTATAGGTAAATATAATAATGATTAAATATCCTTTCTATATATTCTTTCTTTGGTACACTAAAGGTATTTTCTATTCTGTAACTTTCGTAGTGGTGGTGTAAATAACAATGTTTGGATCTTTAATTAATTAACCTTTATCTACTTCTATTTTAGAATTTTGGGGCCTACAATTGAACCATAAATATTAAATTCTAACACGTGCGACTACTTGGATGATTCAATTACAAGGATATGAACTTGGTGGCGGCGGTGGGCGATGTCGATATTGTAAATAATGTGATACATGGTTGATAACACCGGCTAAAACTAACAAAACAATATTCACACGGTGTATTGTTATCATCCAATAACACCACATAATGTTGTACCGTCAACATGTTCTTAAAAACCGGCCTTTTTAAAGCAATCTCATTTAAAAATCCAATAAAATTACCAGTGTCATATTGGTTACTTGTAATTGTACGATTTGCGCTTACAATTGTCCCGCAAAGTGGATACATACATCCGGATGAGTTCTTTCAAAATGTGGAGATTATTGCAGGTAATACTACATATTTATACTTATAAATATATTATTATTATATCTACACTTATAAATGTATATGTATACAAATTTATTTTCTGTTTTCATTATGAGGGATAAATAGTAAATAATATTAACACATAATAAACAAGCATATCAGTGATAATTGCTAAAATAATAATGATTTCCTGTCATTTCGTAATTAAATTTTATAACAATACAATGTCAGAAAAGCAAAAGCTAAACTAAATTATAGTTTTCAAATCTATCAAACTTAGAGAGGAGATCTTATTGATTTTGTTTTTAATATTTTATTGTATAATAGTTATTGTCAAAACTACATTATATTAAAAATGATAATGGTATGGATGAATAACAATTAACTCATAAAAAATTGTAATAAAAATTATTGTTGCAGGTGATATTCTTAATGTGGACATTGCAAGGACATGGGAGTTTAACTCAAAATTTCCCATCAGAAATATATTGGTACCCAAAATGGTTCTCGGTCCACCCATACACTTGATACGAATTGCAAACCCATATACTTTGTATTACTTTGATATCAACTTAAAAACCCCATACTATTTACTAGTTTTACCAAGACTTTTTATATGTCTTCTGTCTTTAATTAATGATTATTGTTTATATAGAATATGTATACTCTATGGACAAAATTTTAGGAGTCGTTTAAAGCTGTTTGCAAGTTCCTATGTTGTTTTTGTGTATTGCTGTAGAAGTTTTTCAAATACTTTTGAAATGATATTATTCTCGATACTTTTGCTGTTTGTAGCTGAGTGTATGCAGAAATCTGATAAAATTATATATCACGAAGAGTTCCTGAATGAAAAATATAACAGGGCAACATCACCAGTTGAGAAAGTAAAACTGTTCAAGTTACGAACTCATTTACCGTGTCATTCCTTGAACCATGTTATAGTGTTGTCTACTTTAGTAGTGATCGGTATATTTAATCGTCCAACCTTCATTGGGTTTGCCTTTCCACCAATTTTCTTCTGGCTACACAGAGGATTAGGTTCCAAAGTAGTTGGATTCAAAGATTTTCATATCCGAATATTCATGTTTATAATGTGCAGCATCCCTACTGTTTTGCTGCTAATTGTAGTGGACTCAGCTTACTATGGGTATGTGACAATGGCTGATGTGGAGTCACTGAAACTTTCCTGGGACAACTGGGTAGTTACACCACTGAATTTCATTCGATACAACTTGGATACAAGGAATTTGAAACAGCATGGTTTACATCCGTGGTGGCTGCATATTGTTGTCAATGTTCCTTTGCTGTTTAATGTGTTGGGAGTGTTGGCACTTGTGTCAATAGCTGGTAACACTTATAGGTGAGTTCATTCAATTTAATGAAGTCCAATTAAAATATCACTAAGTTTGTACATCTACACAATTCCTTATCAGTGGAATTACTTATTCTGCTTTAATTACTCCTTTGATAATATTTTATAAATACATAAGTTAAACAAACATTGTTGTAATAGTATAATTAACTGAAACGGTTAGGTATTTATTATATTATTTATGTATTTGGAAAGTCTGGCTTTTGTCTGTATATATGTTTGTACACACTAACCTTAGAAATGGCTTAACTGAATTATATGCAAAATAACATAGCAAAGCATAGCAAATAGATGGAATGAAAATATTTTATTATAATTAATTTATATCGGACAACTCATGCAGCATTGTCTAGTCCGAAACTAAACAGAGCTTGTACTATATATACTTTAAAACAGAAAATAGTCAACAAATGCAACCTACATCCTCATGCTTATAATAAATGATTGTGTCCAATCTAATCCAATTTTTAAATCAAAATATAATGCAGTGTCCCTAAAATTAGTCATATACTTAGTATTATTATAATACTTAGGCACTTGAATTATACTCATGAATAATGATTTTTTATCATATACTTTACGAAATGAATGTTATTTTAACAATGGGATATCAAAAGAGAATTCATGCAGAAACAATGAATGGCGTATATTGTTCACATGGCTTCACAACTGAATTATAGTCACAAATGTAGAAACAAAGGATAGTTTTTGTATTAATTTTAGTATCCAGTTAATCTGAAATGACCTCGTCATAGTGCAAAGTCCTGGCAACCAAAATTACTAACTTAACTTTATTAACTTTATCTTATATATAAAATTCTCGTGTCACAGTTTTCGTTCCCATACTCCTCCGAAACGGCTTTACCGATTCTCATGAAATTTTGTGAGCGTATTGAGTACATCATCATCACACCAACATCTATTTTTTATCCCCCTAAATGCTAGGGGTAGTCCACCCCTATTTTTTTTTTTTATTTTAAGGCAAAACAACGTTTGCCGGGGCAGCTAGTAGTATATAAAACTGTAGAGGATTTTCAAAAATATGTGTTTTTTGAGTTAATTTAGTATTACTAGGTGTGCGATACCTACCTGCCGAGGTTTTCTCGAGAGACTACAGTATTGGAGTTTTCAAGAAGGGTATATTAAGGTTTCTTAAGGATCGGCTACGCGCACGTGACGTGACACCCCTGGTGTTTCCGGCGTCCATAGGCTATGTTAACCGTTTACCATCAGATGGGTTGTATGTTTGTTTGCCACTTACGTGGTATAAAAAAAAAAGAAAAGGTTTCATATGAGACAATAGATAACGTAGTACAATAAATAGATTATTTATTTATATTTCAGGTTTATCCGAGGACAGTACAGTAAACTACCAAGAATCCAAAGCATTACAGGTCTAATGCTCTTCTCTCTAATCATACCAGTAGCAATATTATCATTGTTTCCACACCAGGAGGCAAGATTTATCATACCAATATTAATTCCGCTAATATATCTCTATGGAAACCATTTACATCCCAACGAGAGTGATGGCCCGAAATCTAGAAGATTTAAGAACACGTTACGAATCTCTTGGTACATTTTAAACCTACTGTTGACTATGTTTTTTGGTTTCATCCATCAAGGCGGTATATACCCATTCTCGAATAGTCTCTACCGTGAAATAAAGAATAATTATGGAGTCCACACACATGTCATAACCACTCATAGCTACAGTATCCCCACATTTTTACTACAACTGGAAAGCACATCGAAAGTTTGGAAAGATAGAAAGACTGGACATAAATATAGACTGGCGCCGACCACTTTCCTCCACAAGTATGGGTCCCTGCCAATGAACGAGTTGTTTACTAAAATTGATGACGTTCTGACTAATGCTGAGATGTTGTTGCATAAACATAAAAAGCAGTACAGGTTTTACGTCGCGTCTCCTTGTTCCTTGGACAAGAAACTTCGAGCCGCAGCCAACAACTACTACTACATAGATTTAGCTGAAGAATTCTCATATTACCCCCATTTTTCTACGGAAGCGTTCCCCGAATTTCCCAGTGACCACGACCAATCGTGTTTAGAGACTGGTTTATTACGAACGAATGAATCTTGTGTTATTGATCTGAATATGTTCCAAAGAATCTCGTGCTTTTTTAAGAAACTGTGTCTAAAAATTTATAGAGTTAGACCTATTAGTAAATATAAGACTTAATATTTTATATATTCCAGTTTAGCCTATACAGCTTTAATTTTATGTATATTGTCAGGCTTTTTGTTTAAATTACTCAAATGTGAACACAAATGACATCGGTGATCTCTTTAGCAGTTTTAGTTGTCAAGAACTCAACTATAGTAAAAGACCATAGAAAAATAGTTTTGCTTTAGTTATCATTCTTAGTTAGTTAATGTTAATTGAATTTTGTAATGGAATGTTACCATTATGCCATGTTATTAGCTTTAAAATCAATTATTATACAAAGGGTGATATATAATCTCGAATGAATAGACTAATTATACATAATTTTGATCTTACGGTACTTGGTATATACTATTCTTGTGAGAATTAAGCATATTTTTATTAACTTATGACTACGTCGTGTAATCCTACTAGAAGGATCAAAATTACTTCTTATTATCTTTTAAATGCTTATAAATAATTTTGAATCTCGAACACAAAGTAGGTACGCCATTTTTATTATTACTTTATTTTTATTCATATTATGTGTAGCAAAATGATCATTCCAATGTTTTGCTCAATTAAAAAGACACTACTGGCAACGAATAATATTGTACTAAATAATAAGTTGTCGCGTTGTTTTTCTATTTACAAGTTAATATATATAATTTAAGCTATATATACATTCAAAAGTGAGAGAAGTATTTGTAGTATTGTACTCATCATATTTATGGCATAGTTAATTTTTATATAATTTATTTATTTGATATTGAACATTGTTATTTTAATTAATTGCTTTTATTGTTATTTATCATCGCTTTAAATACATATAATTTATAAAAAATACATATCCAGTTCAAGCGGACTTTTGACGCCATCGAATTAAAAATAAATGGAACATAATGTCGATGAATGATGAATCAATACGTTCCATTAAACATTATATTTACATTGAAAATAAACAAATTATAACTATACTTTATACAGTTATAAAACATAATTTACAAATATATAATTTATTAAATATATGTCACAAGTTTGTACAGTGCCTTGCATTAATATGTAAACACTTGTTTAATTTATTATAAGGTTCTATTTAAAGTTAAAGAGTGAATAATGTTACTGGGAAATTCTATGATCGAGTGTTCACATATCAATGTACATCACTGTACTGTACTAAAATAACTAGATTTAAAGAACTGTAAAATCACATCACACTGTAATAAATGTTGAAGGAAGTTTAATTTTTTTTAAATTGTCATTAATGTTATCACATTATTAACCGCCTTTAAAAGGAAGAGGTTATATTCTTATATTTTCTGTATACATTTTTCTGTCGTCCTTATAGAGAATATTGAAATAATTAGCATCTTTAGGCAGGTATCTACTGATTGCATTGATAACAATAATTTCAGAAGCTTGTTCTGCGTACTATTACTACATACATGCTACTATTATTTACTTATGATGTAAATAAAAGTTGTTTCATTATTTCAATCTTTTTTATTTCCTCTACATGTCCAATTAAAGCGCCAACACCCAGATACGCCATCGACATCTATAAAAACGTCAACTTCGACCATTACATACAATAAGTGACGAACCGGAAAACTTCAGGGCAAGAAAAATACCCGCATGTGCAAAAAATGACGGCACGTAATTTTAATCATAGACAATCATAAATTTACTGAAACACACTATTGACGAAAATTAATTCGGACGTACTACGTAAGAAATTGTTATCCTTGATTGAAGCTATAAAGAATAGCGCGGACATTCTACGAAAGACAATGATTTACGTACTCAAGGTACAAAAAACCGAATAACTAGGCAGTATACGCCATGCTCTTTGCCTGTCCGAATTGTATGAATATTGAAACAACAACAACTACATTATTTATTTACATTTGACGTGATTTTTCTCGTGTTTCATTTTTGTAATTCTCCTATTTTTAAATACTTTTATTTCACCATTTTACAAATATGAAATCCCACAAATCAACACTACAATCTGTTCTCTCCGCCGTATTGAAAGTTATTCGTGTATATGAATGGCTTTTGAATCTGTATGTTTTGGTAAGTTATTCGAAATTCAAAATTACTAGACATCAACGAAAATGTACAAAACATTATTTACGTACAGCCAAGACTTTTGCACAGACCACTGACCGAACAATTATTCGATGGAGAATGGCATGAATAAGTTATTTGTTTGAATACACAGACTAATGTTAACATACATACCAGATAATGATTACATACTTTCTGGTTTATTTTGTATGTAAATTATTACTATATATATTATTTATGAAATTAATGACATTTACTCATAATCTATTTTTTCTTTTCAGGATTTCTTTGTTGATAATCATTGGGAAAAATTGCCAACAAGCTGGCGGGAGATATTTCAAAACATAGATCCACAGGTCCTTGGAGATATTATATCAGGAAATCATAACAATTATGTGTTACCTCTATCATTCCTCTCATTGTTGAAAACTGTACAGACATATAGTTTGCCGAGAACCAGTATTTATAATTATGAATCTTTTAAAGAAATCCACAGTATACATGATAGTTGCAGAGGTCATCCAAGATTGAAAAATCTTTTCTTGAAACATGTAAAATTGAAAAAGAGGCATGAAGTGACTCTTATGGCAGAAATTGTACATCACACAGCTTCACAAGTGAAATGTGATGCTGTAGTTGACTTTGGTTCAGGGTTGGGACATTTGGTTAGACTGCTTGCATACAAATATGATCTCTATGCTGCTGGTATTGAGTGTCAATCTCAATTAACACAGGATGCTAGGTCTGTACTGTTGGTATGTATATTATGACATTTAAGTAGTATATCTTAGTAACAAATTTGTATAGATATTTTAAAAATAATTTACATTACTTTTTTTTTTTTCAGAAAACAAGACTGGGAACTTGAATATACAGCCAAAAAGTATTTGTCAACTGAAAGTGCAATTAAATTGCGCCGTCCCATTCATTTTGATATTATTCTAAATAATATCAGTCAGTTAGATCATTTAGTGTTGCCAGATACAATGGATAACTATGGTTTAATAGGACTACATCCATGTGGTGATTTGGGCCCATTGCTTTTGAAACACTTTGTTAGTAGTAACAAAGTGAGGTTTATATGTGTGGTGGGATGTTGTTACATGAAGCTGACATGTGAGGGTGCTGACAGAGGGTACCCGATGAGCAAGTACCTTACTGGTTTAGACAGCGGTTTGTCTTATGCTAGCAGGGAGATTTCGTGTCATTCTATTGATACTTATTGTGATAGACTAAAAAATGGACATTATGAGGATTTGAAGGTGAGATTCTTCTTTTAAGTTAATGGTAAACCTAAATATACTTAGACCAGAACTTGACATCTTCAATAGCACAATTGATTACCTTATTCAGGTCTTCCTTCATGCAGGGTAAAGGTGAGGTAAACTATAATAATAATATAGCCTTTATTCTGGTTTTAGATATTAATTTGGTTATTATTTTAATTTCACTGCCTAGGTTCATCAGCTTGTCCTAAGACATAGACCTCCTCCAATGGACTCCAGCTTCTCTGTCTTTTTCTTCCCCATTTGTTCCAGCCACTGCCACAGATTTTTTAAAAAGGCTTTATAACTAGGTCCATATGTGTTTAACAGTAGCATGTTGATTCAAATAACACTGCTATTAATGATTATTGTAGATACATGCATACAGAGCAGCGCTAGAAAGAATATTGGTGGAGCATGACCCTAAGTTACGACACGCCCAAGTCAGGAGTATCAAGAATTCTGACAACATGACATTTCAAAGGTAATACTTCTAATCCAAACTGAAGAGGATATGCCACTACACATCCTATGTGGTTGTAGCCCACTCATGCATAAACAAAATATCTCCTTTGGAAAGTTTACACTCTTTCCTGAGGAGATAAAAACAATCGTACTCATGAATACAAATAAACATTTGTACAATAATGTAAAAATCAAGTGGTAGTTTGATGTTTGCAATAATATAGTAGTTTAATAGTTAAATGTTTGTACGCTTCATATAAGCAAATTTTACAAGCGCCATATTTTACATAACATCCTGTAATGTATCAAAAATAATTCACAACTAAATAAATAATAATTATTATTATTCAATTGAAACGGATCTTACAAAGCAACGTGACTGAAATAGGCGAGACTAAGTCACAAACATAACTTAGTACAAAGCTCACTCTCATAGAGCTATTTTTTTAACATGACTAAAATGTTCTTGTTAATTTGGGTTCTTTTCACCTATACTGCACATTACATACAGATACTGCACATTAGCCGTGGAGCGACTGGAGCTCCCTCTACCGACGTGTGCGAGCACGTGGTCACGTGGCGAGGCAGACTTGCAGCAATGGCGGCGCGTGGTGACCGTGTATACACTGCGACTGCTACTGGCCCCGCTCGTCGAGACCGTCATACTACTCGACAGAATACTCTTTGTTATTGAAAATGGTAATTATATCGTATTTTTAATAGTAGTGGAATTCTACCACACTTGTGAAGGAAGGAGGTCAAGACGAAGCGAGCAAAGAAAACGGCACCGGTAGAGTCGTAAAATATAGTAATGACTTATGTCACAAGTAAAAACAATAACTATATTGTTTTTGTTTCAGTTTCCAACACTTCTTTTTCTTCGCAAATTACTTATCTTTGTCCTCCTTTTCTATTTCCTTTATTGATGGCTGTATTATTACCATCCAATGCATACCTATAAAGTGTTGACGTCAGAGTCAATCCCAAATCTAGATTATATTATTGTTTTTTTTAATGGATGATTATGGAATGATCCACCCACCTGCGCTAAAAATATTGGTGGTTGTAATAAAGATTTGACATATGGTAATTTTTTAAAATTATATGGTATATAAGGAAAAGGAAATTATGATAAATTTTAAGTATTGCTCATGATGTAGGTCTCTGGAAATCAATACTAAATTTTAGAGATAAGTTTAGAAAATAAGAATGAACAGTCGTCGAATCGTCTCTTACACTGTTAACAGCGATACATAATAAAACAATGTTCATTTTCATATATATTTAATATTAAACACAAAAATAAACACATCTATCAACATAACAATAATTACTTTACATACATTTGTACACATACATTTTTATGACACCGACGTGATTCCATTCAACAAAAGCGGGATGTTACAAACACAGGAACTTATATGGAATGTAATTAAATTAACTATAATTAACACTAATTTCATTTGGCACTTTCAACATGTTCACATCTACATTTTTACAGGTTATGGTCCTATCTTTTTTTAGCCTGCATGCAGTCATACATATTGTATTAGAGCCTTAATATCTTGTTAAGTAATTTTATAATAAATACTAGCTGTCCCGGAAAACGTTGTTTTGCCTTGCCTTGCCTTAAAATAAAAAAAAATTAGGGGTGTACTACCTCTCACATTTAGGGGGATGAAAAATAGATGTTGGCCGATTCTCAGACCTACTCAATACCCTCACAAAATTTCATGAGAATCGGTCAATCCGTTTCGGAGGAGTATGGGAACGAAAACTGTGACACGAGAATTTTATATATAAGATACATTGTTTCGATTTGTGGGTAAAATAAAAAAATATATAAATATTTCCTTTGCTTTACATTACAGACCTAAATACAGATAGTGACAAGAAACTTCCCGGGCATTCGTTAATTGTAAAAATTATATATAATCTGCATTATGGGATGTTTGAAGGGACAGGGGCGGAGTGAGTCCGTTGTGGATGTCCATTTTAATTGAGAGTACATTAAATAGTATTTTTTTACTTCCCAATTGTTAAAATTTTATGTTTGACAGTTGAGCAAAGATAAATAAATATGGTCTCTTACAGATCATCACCATGATCCGATGATTAATAATGATAAAGAATTCTCCTTTCAGGTTTCTCGTGCAATATCCGGCCAGTATTCGACCCGAAAATATCGCCCAGAAACCACATCATAGTTGCAAAGAGAATGTAATACAGATTATTAAAACATAAACATTGTTTTTTTTTATCGTACCAATCGTTTAAGCTATTAGTAACTAATTTATATATCTAAATAATTGATGTTTTGTTTAATTGAGAGTGTGATCATACCGAGGCACTGGAATTTTAAGTATATTAACTTTAATATACATGTAGGTTTTTGTATCCATCTGGAGTTGTTTAGTCTTACAAAAAATATTCAGTAATATTTTTCAGTTCGTGATCTATTTTAATTAAAAAAAAAATAATAGCCCAGGATAATTGACACAGCACTATGTAGTCTCAAATTAAGAGCTTATATAATACCAAACCAATACTAATGATGTTTATATCATACGAGAGTCAAACCCTAAACTGAAATCAGGGGTGTGCTAAACCACTAGATAACTGAAGGCGCCAATGGATAACTCTTGGCACAGATTAGTGGCAAACTTAATATTTTTCATTATTATAAAAATAAACTTACTCTACTTGTCTTTTAAAATATTGCAAATACTTTTTAAAGCCCTGTGTAATAGTCATAATAAACTGTGGTATTGTTTGTATAGAAAAAGTAAGAATAATTAGGCCGTAGTACGTAAAAGGTGTTATGATTGTGAGTTAGGTGCTAGCAACATGTAAGAATTAGGGACGTCAGTGCTAGAGAATTATCTTAATTAATATTGGAAATCTAAAAAAATACTTATGTGACCCGGAATGTTGTTTTCATTGACTCGATTTATTGGCCGATGCCAGACAGCTTCAAATACACAAATGCTTACAAGTTGTTTAAAATGTGTGCTACAGATACTTATACGAGAGTAGATATTCAAATTTTTAAATTCTGTTCTAAATTCAAATGTGTAATAAAGATTTGAACTTTTTGATTAAACGCACATGGAAACGTTCATATTAATGGAATGTGTATAAGATTTAAGAACGCACATCAAATTTAAATCCTTGGACAAAATTAAATGAGTAGATATTGTGAACAATGCAATTTAACCAGCGCGGGTCTCCAGCAATTTATTTCAAGAGCCATGGCTTGGATTCGGTTCTTAAGTATCAATTTTAAAAAAAAAGATCTATACGCTTGACATCCATTACGCTTGCTTTTAGGTTAATCCGGCATAATTGGGAGACTGTAAAGCTCACTTAGTATGACATAAATAAATAATTCCTGATTGTGAACGCACTTGTGTGGGTTATGATGATTATAATACACGAGCCGGAATTTCAGCCTGAGCCAAGTGTGTTTAATACGCCTTATGCATAATGCCTTTATAACGTATACATACGCGTTTTATGAGTTGATTTATATATCGAAAACGACTTTAATAGTACTTTTAAACTGTGTTGAAAAAGATTTTTAAATATGTGTGCAAATATTTGAAGCTATCTGACGTTAACGTTACGTATGTGACGGTGTAGAGTGTAGGTATGTTCACATATGACATTCGTGGCATCATGCATTGGCGGGAGGTTGTGGGGGCAGCATTGGCGCAGGCTCGTCGTCCGAGTCGTCCGAGTGGACTCGCGTGAATCGCCGTCGTTCCAGCAGTCGTCGCAGCTTGAATTCCCCGTGGCCGTACTCCCAGCGGCGGCGAGTTACGCCCTTGCGACCTATACCGGATATTTTGATTATAAAAAATAGTATTAACTTTTAACAGACAGTGATTGAACAAAAAGGGCTCAGTGGCGTGCCTTGTGAGAGGTCTATGTCCAGCAGTGGACTGATGATGTTGAGTATGAACTTTTATTTAGACATTTATCACACATTTTTAAGTAACTGGAAACAAATTGACGGTCTGGTGGTAAGTAGTAACTGTCGTCTATATACACGGACACTACCACGGACATATATCAGGTGATGCTGGAGGTAACCCTTGTGTTTTTTTTTATGTGTATGATAATGGAATGGTGCAACCGCCTGCGCTAACGGTTTACGCTGGCGGGGCACCAGTGGGGGATGATAAGATGAGCATGAAGTCTGGTCAGTTAGCCCATCGTGACAAATTTACCAAGAATTCATAGATCCATATAGCAATAGGAGTTACTAGTTATTTAACAAGAGACATTGGGTACACAGATCCATACGATACATTCAGGAGTCTAATGCCGTATACGCCATAAGTATATTTAGAGACATGGAATACAGGTATAAAATCTTTAAATCAATCTTTAAGACAATACTATGATTTAAAAAATGAGGGATGAAACGAAATTAATAAATCTAATAAACTTCTGCAAATATACTAAATCAAAGCAACACCTAATTTACATTAAGACGCCATCTAACCACTATAATTGGTACATAATTTGAAAATACTTCAGTATTTCAATTAACATCTCGAATAGCTACACTACTGCTATTTGAGTTGGATTTGCCATAAGATCATTTCCGTCATCCCAACTTTTGGTACATTAAGAATAATGGCACTATGTAGTAATCTACTCATCCAGTTTTTGTTTATAGAAAGCTGGTTGACACTATATTTCCTCTAATAATAAATAAAGAAATTTCTTCTTTAAAGGTTCTGTATTAAATTTTATTTTTTTCTTATATTTTCAAGTGTATAATTTGCAAACTTTGCTTCAGTTGAATGAAAAGAATGTTTCGTATCATCTTGGTCAATATTAAATTACTTCTTGTTCTCCTAATAATTTTATACTTTTATCCAAATTAATGATGGCATGAAGCACTTATATACTAGTCTTCGTTTAATTCCTTCAGTTTAAAAAAACTTATGAATTTTCTAGCTTTCATTGTATTCTTATTATTATAGTCTAAATCGATCTATATTAAGTTATACACGTACAAAATTCTAAAATGTGCAACATTACGTTTGTGAAATCTAAGCTGACTTAACAAAAGTGGCATGCGAAGGTGCGATCAAATAAAAAACAAAAAGCTGCTTCCAATAAATATATTTCAATAAATATTGTACGTACATCACAATGATAAAATCTAATCACGATCACAATACATAAGCGAAATTAAAAATATTTTAATAACTAGTATATACTTGTGTAGAATTAAGTACAAATAAAATAAGCTGCCAAATGACAAATCTCAAAATTGTGATTCACAAATTAAACACATGCCCAAAACTAACTTATAAATTAACCTTAACATTACTAAATACTGACCAATTTAAAAAATAATAAGAATGTATAAATAGTCATATAAGTAAGAAGCTAGGTTGTATATAAGAAGGTAGGTTATAATTGAGAAATATTACATTATTATTTAGACTAAGAATTAGCTTTATCATTATTTCTAGTGCTAAATTTTCTAGAAATCTCTATTTATGTCTCTAAAATGCGAATATGTTTATAGATATTTGATAACGATATTCAGTGACTGGTTCTTTAGTAAACTAATATAATAATTAAAAACATACGTATTATAATTACACTGGTCAACAAAAAAAAAATTTGTTTCTTTCGATTTTTCCATTTCTGCCTTGAGTTAACGTATATTCTTTGAATATATTGAATATATTTTTCTCTCGCAGCTATTGTTTTTGAGTTACAGCTAACTTCCCTCATTATGTTCAACTTAGATTTGCGTTTTTATTGGACACTCAAATATATTTTATACTATAAGATGTTGTGTCTTATAACAACATATACGACCTACTAAATCCCGATTGTTTTTGCTATATCTGTGTTGAATATGTATATGTAAAATATCAAAAACCTATATTGAACTCGATATTTTCCCGTCAATATGAAGAACTGAAGCAATTTCCCAGTATTTTATTTATACTCGGAGCCATAAAAATACCCAATAACAGAAAAAAATGAGGAAAACAAAACTTGTGTTGACCAGTGTTATCAACAGATTCGCTCTGTTGACTACATACATAATGGTTAACTTGTGTATAAATTTTAAATATTTTAATAGACAAAAGCATATTACTACGTTGTAGTAAGTACCTATCAAAACAAAAAAAAATATTAGTAAATATAGAATGGTTCTAATACATAGCTATTAAATAATGAACTTTCATTAATTTACAGTTATTATAAAGTTTTTTAAATCATATTCCAATTTATTGTTTTGTAGTTGATATTTTATTGAACCGTCATTATTTAAACAGCCCAACTTCTTACTTCCATGACTGTATCAATAGTAAAATCTCAAAAAAATCTCAGATCAAGGGAATGCAGACAACTTAAAATTAAATATAGGTACAACGTGATAGAATAAAGATTAAGCCCCTTATTAATAACATAAACAACTATGATTTTCCTACAACATCTTTTATTGAAGTATTTTGTCTCTTTCTGTCGAATACAGAAATAGGTCGAGAGAAAAGGACAAGACACCTCAATCGGTATTTATGACGGAGTAAAACTAGGGTAGATCCTTTCTTTTTTTCTATAAAGATAATTATCTGATGACCTGTTTAAGCGTATGCTTAACAACAGCTCTTTAATTATATAATACTTATTAACAATTTTCTACTGTAGCAAGTCAATGATAGGTTAGAATTGAATATCTTTCGCATATAGTCGCAATTGTGACTGTAAAAACTTGTTATGTTTTTACAGTCATAATTGCGACTGTGAAATACATCATACCTAATTGCAAAATTGATTTCAAACTGTTTCTAATGACAATTGTTAGTAACGGCGTTATATAATTTATCTCTCGTTGACTCAGTGCATTGCACACTTTGAAAGTAATAGTTTAATACTACATTTTGATTCTTTTTCTATAAAAATATTGCCTATAGATCAATAGCCATTTTCCAAATTTTAAGTCTAATGCCATCCCATAATATAATGGGAAAATACTATTCTTTAGGAACTCTCAGATCTATGATAGGAAACAATTTTCTAACAATATAGTATCATTATTTTCTACAAAAGATTAATAAAGGTTGTATATAATTGAAAAACAATTACGCTTACATCTAATGAACATTCTATTATACAAAATGTATAATATGTAAGTACTTATATATGTACTACACGTAATATATTTGAACCAATATATACATATAAGTTTTTAAATAACTCGCAAACTTGTTATCAACTATATTAGGGGTTTATCTGAAAATATTTCCTATTAAATATAGAATATCGCTGTACAAACGCGAAATATTAAATGTATAATACCTATAATATACTCATTCTTCGTTTGTACCCTGTATTTGTGATTCTAATGTTAATATTATAATTAATATATGATAGTGTAATGTTGGTACATTACATTATCATACTTGTGGTATTTGTAGAAATGAAAGCAAAGCGGAATTTATTTGTGCTACATGAATTGTGTACATATTTGTTTAGATTATGATTTAGTGAAGATGTATACAACCTACAAAAAAGTAGACATGTAACCAACAAACAGACAAAAGAGATATATGCTATATCTAGTTTTAAAATAAAAAAGTATTATTGACTAAAATGATGACAAGCAATAACATGATATTCAGAGAAAATCTAATTCTAGGAAAACTATCTGAATTTTAGATGTAAATTTAGAAAATGAGATCTCGGAATTGAATCGTTTTTTAATGATACCAGATATGATCATAAAAATTCTAGCTAACTCTTTTTAAATATTGTTTGAACTTATACAAATTGATAGAGTAAAATAAATAGTTCATATGACTAATGTGTATAAAAACGCACAGCGTATTAAGAGGATTTCTGATGTCTATTTTGATGGACGGAATGTCTAATGTTGAAAGTGAAAGTAGTGTAAAAATATCAGAAAATAACTTGAGAACGTCACGTGATTTGCACAATAATAAATTTACATACAAGATCACTACTGTTTTTGTTCAAGTTATTTGTTGTATATCGAAAATATATGTGTAATTTGACCATTCGAGTGTCTAATGGGCGGATATAGAAGGAAATAAACACCGCAATATCTACAGCTATTATAAATAAATTAAGATTATTTACTGACTTGTTGTAATGATAGATAGTTATTTAATAATAAGGAAAGACATCAAGGATCTATTCTTGGTCCAGTTTTATTCATAGTTTACATTAATGATCTCCCGTTTGACATGCAGGATGGATGCGGCATTGTATTGTTTGCAGATGATACTTCATTTATTTTGAAACTTAATAGAATGACTAATAATTATAACGATGTACATAGTGCTTTGCGGCGACTTTTGTACTGGTTTACAACCAACAATCTTATTTTAAAAGTATTTAAATCCTTGAATTGGAATTGGAATGTAATTCCTTATTAAACCAATTTACATAAGTGGTCTTTTTGGGACGATGTTTCCGTTGAAATTCAGATTGAGTTTAAGTAGCCATATTGTGTATATTTAAAGCAAGTCATAGGAATCTTCAGTAGATCGAATAATTGCGATGTCTATTTAGATCTATTAGTAGTCGATAAACTAATGTCTAACCTAAAATATGAAGCTTAATGCCATGAAATTAGTATAATTTAATGACATTTATAATATTAAAGTCACGGCATACAAATGAATATATATGTAAAACTAGCTTCCTAAAATAAATTAGACTTTAGTAGAGAGTTCGTGTCAGTGATTAATGAGTTTACGGTAGTGAGCAAGTACTAGCGAACAGTGAGTCATTTCTGGCGAATATTTAGTGCAAATGAGCAGTGAGTTAATGTTAATAAATAGTGAGTCAGCGCCAGCGTGTGGTGAGCAAATATTAGAGGACAGTGAGTTACTTTTGGTGGACAGTGTGTCAGTATTGACGAGTAGGGAGCGAGGGGTAGAGAGTAATGAGCCAGTACTAGCAGGCAGTGAGTGAGATCCGGCGAGCGGTGAGGTAGTGAGTACTGGCGTGGCGGCGTGTCTAGTAGACGAGCGGCTGCGCCTCGCGATCCTTACCGGTGTTGCGCGCGCGCAGCAGCGCGGCCGCGGACAGCGCGCACACCACCGCGCCCCCCGCCCCCGCGCCCGCCCACCACCACCGCCCGCCGCCCGCGCCCGCACCCGCCCCGCCGCCTTCTGCGACACACGTACGCAAGGTCAGTTGCATACTTTTGTAATGTATAATGCGCACAGGTAGGGGGAAGGGAATTGTTAGTAATGGTGACTAGTCACCCTTTTATTTAATAATGAATGACAATGGAATGATACCACCGTAAGCGCTAACGGTATATGCTAGCAGGGCACCGGTGGAGGATGGTAATGTAGGTCGTGATAAAATGACCAGAAATTAACCACGAGAACGATCCCCTTCCCCCATTAAACCCATCGCAAACAATGGACCGCGTTAGGTCGACGTAATATAATATTAATTAAATACACACATTAAATTAGTAGAAAACATTTATTCAGTTCTCATTTTTAATATCAAATAAAACATAAAAACCCTTGGAACAAAAAAAATACAATCCATACAAGCAATGAAATTCGGCGGTTTCGATAAATTATATCATGAGCACATACAATATATTTCATATTAAAAGATAGAACAGTAAAATCGACCCCTAATTTTTGAGAAGTTTCTCCAGCTATTTGTTCAAGAATCACGGAGAGTAGGCTGTATTATTACAATCAATTTAGTAATATTTTCTAGCTTCAACATTACTGGCTGCAAATTTAGCAATCATTGCCTAATACCTAACATCCAATATATACTATAATGAAGCAAAAGCATGCTAAAATATTACATAGAAATCTCATATTCCCATGAAATTTTTATAGTGTCCACTATAGACGTCCTAAAACAACAATTTTGTACGAATGTTTAATTTTAACATAAAATTGAAAGAGATTCATGATATATCGTGAATTATTTAAAACAAAAAAAAAAGACAACACAACACACCTACTCACCAATGGTGGCTGTGGGCTTCACAGGAGTCAATGCTGTGGGTGTCAGTTCTAATTTACTCTGGTTCCTTAATCCCTCATCTACAAACTTGCACACTCTGTGGGGGTCTAACTCTGCAACGTAAGCCGTGACCCCATCAGGGGTCACTACGATGTCGTGGGGATTTCTGAAGCCCCCCTCTGGTGCGAAGGTTTGTATTAATCGGCCTGATGTGAAGTCGATGACGTACCCTCGTACTGGTACGTTGCTGTAAGGCCCGTTTACAACGTATAGTCGGCCACCTATTAAATAAGATTTTTATAAATATAATACAGTAAATATATAATACATATACAATAATTGAGTCAGCAAACGTTGTTTTGCTATATAAATTAATGTACTAATAGCGCTATTAAAAATAAGGGTTGATGATAGAAGGGCGAAAATTTAGATTTGTATGTATTTTATAATAGCGATTCATGGAAAATTAAAATTAAAAAATATGTCCAAACAATAGTGCTTTTTTCACTAGCAATCCTTATCACTTGAAAAATACTATTATACTTTACGTCCTATTCTCGGAACTACTGAATATATACACAAAATTTCATAAGAATCTGTCGTTTTGGAGGACTTTTCTTACAAACACTATGACATGAGAATTTTATACATTAGAAGATAAAACAGAAAAAAATGTCCTAATAAGTTATAAAAAGTAAAACCTATATGTTTCGTGTAAATTGTGTGTGATAGTGTGTAGACTACATAGGGAGTGTATATGAGTGAGTATAACAATCGAGTGTATGTAGAGTGAGTTAGTGTAAATACACAACTTGCACGTGACGCCTGTGAGTTCGTAGCGTCGTGTACTGTACGATACATGCCAGTGCGTGTAGCCGGCGATGCGGCCGTTATGAGTGTATATGAGTTAGTGATAATAAAACTTGCACGTGTCGGGTACTGACCGCGCACGTGCGAGTAGGCGACGCTGAAGAGTCTGGAGCCGACGAGCCAGTGCGTGTATCCGGCGACGTAGGTGCCGTTGTCTGCGCGGAAGCAGGCGACTCGTCCGCGCTCGCGGTCGGCCACGCACACCTGGCCGCGCTCCTCGGCCGCCGCCAGCGCGTGCGGCACGTCGAACGTGAACGGGTCGTGGCCGGACCCTGTACCACAGGTACAGATATAAACCACAAACACAGATACTATTACGCCAAGATCTCAGCCCTGTCAAAATTTCATAAAAATCTATTCAGTAGTTTTTGCCTGAATGAGAAACAAACATCCATCCATACTCACAAACTTTCGCATTTATAATATTAATAAGGTAATATTATTCACCATGAATTGATCACGATGTTTTTCAGGGTAAACCATGTAGAGGTCACCTGCCATGGTGCACTGCTAGCAATGGAGTTATTAGTTCACATTACTAACAATCCCCTTTCGGGAAAAGGGGATTGTAATAATAATAATGATCATTATCTTTATTTGTCTCAAATATTAAACTATTACAAATGCTGCTTATAATAAAATTTGACAGATCGACATCCACGCGATTCAAATAGAATCCTATTATTAATATTATAAACTTTCGCGGTTTGTGAGGATGGATGTTTGTTACTCTTTCACGCAAAAACTTCAGAACCAATTTTGATGAAACTTTACAGTAATATAGCTCATACACAGAATCAGAAAACCGCGGGCAATGCTAATATATCAATAAATACTTGTATTTATTGTACTACTCCAGTAGGCCGCACAGCTGGCCTTTACAGCTTCACACAAAGCGAGCCAAACCCGCGAGAGAACTTATGGAGTGGGTGATGAACAACTGTACTCTTTTAAAATAAAGTTGCAACTGAAAAAGTCATAATAGATCATCGTTACTCACGTTTGCCCCACTGCAGTATAATGGTGCCATCTGGTGAGTATTTGATTATCCTGTGGTTGCAGTACCCGTCAGCTACGAAGAAGTCGCCAGTAGATAGCACGGCCACTGCGCTCGGCTTGCAGAAGTGGTCGTCATCATTACCAGGGACGAATCTGCAATATTTTTTTATACTATGATGGTGGCAAACAGACTTACATTCCATTGTTACCCTAGCCTATAAAATATCACAATACTAACTGTTACCAAAAATAGCAAATGAAGTGTTGGCTATTTTTAAAAAATAGTCTATTTCCGTCCTAGTGATACAATCTATCTAATATAAAATTTCATTAAAATCTTTTACGGGTTATTAAAATTCTATATGTAACATTCAGACAGACTGACAAATTTAGGCATTTATATTAGTAATAAACGGAGTATGGATATATGCGCATTGAAAGGAAAAACGCGTACAAAAAGTACGTACAAATTTTATGAGTTTGAGGAGAGTAACTAGTATGATTTAAAAAATGCTTCCACGATTTGATATATTAGACCAGATATATATACAGTATTATATTATATATTAATGCTTCTTTCGACATAACTCGTGATTACCTACTAGTTAGATTTCTAGAATTCATTCCACAAATAAATCTATTAACGTATTAATAAAACTCATTAAAATCAGTGTAAAAAACAGTTTTTTCGACAAAATCCTTCATTGTAGACGATTAAAAAAAAATGTTTTATTTAGATTTTTATGTTGAAATCTTACACACATTCACATTAATGTTTTACAGATGATAATTGTACCGAAGGAAGTCGTAATCGTTTCGATTTCAAATATAGACAGATTTGCATAGCAAGGTTGCTCATAATATGGAAATGAACACGTATGTAAGAATCATGTTCTGGATCTTTAAATAAAATTGTTGTCGAATAAAAATAGCAAATGAGAAGCTATGTTCTACAGGTACATATAGTATATATATTACATAGGTGATGATATATTTATTTATTAATTACTAGTACATAGTTACTTAACCACTTTAATATATAGACTACTGGTTAGTAGTGTAGCGAGTGCCGGAGTGAGGGGATAGGTGGTGTAACGAGTGTATATGTATTTATTATACATATAAACCTTCATTTAGAATCACTCTATCTATTGCCAAAATCCGTTCCGTAATTTTAAAGATCTAAGCGAACAGACAGCAGAAGCTACTTCAATTTATGCTATTTAAAGATTTGGTAGTTTTTATTCACATTTCAAAAGAACAATACGCAAGATTCTTGCTTGTTCTTCTTGTGATGTGACGGGTTTCTGAATGAGCGGTTAAAATATGTATTATATATTAAATAGAAGATTCTATTCTATGGTACTAACTTCTTTATAAGCCTCAGTCCGTTTTATCTTGATTAACCAGGAAATGTTCACAGTACCAAATATGCACTACGTAGGTATATATATGTAAATCATGATCATTCATAAATATGTTTACGAGTGAAAATGTAAATAACAAAATTGTGACATAAATTATACATTTGCAATAAATAATTATCAATACTGTAACTTTTGACTGGCACATCGTATACATATGTATATATTTATGCAAGTGTAGCTGTATAAATTATATATTAATATATTCAATGACATTCAAAATTATGTCAGTGAGAAATCTGAAAACTAGTTTGAGTAAAGTCAATAATTATAATATTTGCACAGTGCGAGCAGTTAGGAATCGGAGTCAATGGAACACTAATGTCTAAATATAACTTATTGGTTTAATAATTCACAGTAGACTTCCGACTTCGTAAAGTCATCTATGTAAGTACCTCAGTGTCACCTGTTTTAGCCGCCAAACCTTTTTTGTTTGCTTTGTGAGCTATATTTCACTTAAAGAGTAAAATAATGCAGGGCAATTACAGTTTATGGGGTCATAATATTAGTCTTCTGCATTATAAAAAAAAACACTTAATCAGGGTTTTAATACTTTCATAGATGACTACGAAATCGGAAGTCTATTCCAACTTATTTCACCAATAAATTGTATTACATGAGGTTTTTTATGGATGATAATGGAATGGTACCTCCGCCTGTGCTAACGGTATAGGCTGCACCAATGGAGGATGAGTTAGCACAGTTTGGCCAACTTGGCAAGCAGCAATTTGTATTCTATTATCATCCATAAAAATGCATCTGTATACCCATCAGTGAAAACAATTGTAAATATATATTCTTATATATGTAGATATGATTCCAATGGGTCGCAGTGAAACAGGATACACTTTACCTCAAATGCAAAATGATAAAATAAATAAACTAATTAGTAAGTATTATCCGAAATTAGGTGCGGGAATTCACAGCGATGATGACGTGATGTTGACAGTGGTTATTCTATGAAACAGAGTCCCTCTGCTATACGGACAATCTTGTTTCTTTTTATAGATACACAAACAAGATTTTATTACATATAAAAATTGAAATTATTTGTTAGTAACAAATCAATCCAATTTTTTTATGTTAATAATGTATGAGTATGGAGACTCATGGCAGTAAATATGTATGAGTTAAAAAAAACATAATTCATAAGTTGAGAATGAGTGGAGCATTAGAATTTTAGACAGGCTAAGGGCTAAGGGCCTGCCCCAAGGCTAAAAAGGTAGGGAAACATTGGTTTAAAGCATGTAATAGTGTAACAGTACCTTGAAAAATATATTTTACACATACTTCTCTCCCAAGGTTAGGGCCGGTTTCTGTCGCTGGTTTGGTGTGAACTTGAAAACCTGATGCAACCCCACATCTGTCACCCACACGTTGCCTGCACGGTCCACAGTAATGCCGTGAGGCATGTAGAAGCTGGACAACGAATTATGAAATTATTAATTGAAATAAATCCATAAATTAAATGACAGAATATTATGAATTTTTAAAATTAATGTAATGTATTTTATTGATGGTGTTCCTTGTTTTTGTCACAGTTGGTTTTGTCACACTCCCTTCCCTAGTGGGACTTAACATTTCACAACTGGGAATGAAGATGCATTACGGAACATTTATTAATTAATATGAATGAGCTAATTGGCCTAACTAAACCTGACTTCATATGCATCACATCAACCTCCACTGGTGACTTCACAAGAACATATTACATACATTAGTACAAGTGGATTGAATATATGTTAATTAATAAAACTACTTGTACCTATTTTAGATACACTATTATACATATTGAAAAGATGAACTTACAGATTTTGTCCCCACATATCAACAAGTTCTCCGGTTTCATTGAACACCAGAATGGTGGGGTCTGGTATGGGTGGTTCACCTATTCGCTGATACACATGCCGTGGTGTAAATGTGCTAGCGTCCCACTGGTTGCCAGCTCTATGGAAGACCAGTAACTGGCCAGCATTGTCCAGTGCCACTCCAGACACTTGGCCCATCTTTACGAAAGAATCTGGCCAGTCTGGCACCCATTGTGGTGCTGTTAAAAATATTTTTTTATTATATTCTTGCCCCTTTTTGTAAATAAAAATTAATAGTAAAAAAAATAAGTTAAGTTTTCAATATCTGCAATGAATATGTAAAAGCTAAACAACTAGATTTAAATATTATTTTCATTATTTCAAACAATAAATGCATTTTTGTAAGATATGTTTTTGTCATAGCTAAGTTTGCAATTTTTTTTTATTTATATATGTAAATGATAAATCAAGTAGTAAATTAACTATACCGAAACTATCATACCTATTAGTAATTAAATTTGTTGTAATTAGTTATTAAACTTTAAACGGAATAAATAATTAAACGTACATTCAACGTCATCTGATGCATGTCTAAAAAATATGATTTATTATTTGAAATCTGTGGATAAAACTACTTACCGTGTTCCAATTTTCTCAAAGCAATTTTTATTTTGGGATCCACGGAATCCTGGTTATCGTAGTCATTGTTTGAAAAATATCCTTCATCAGGATACTGAAAACAGTGAAATTAATTTCAGCTTACACAATTTTTATGTAGATTAAATAGTCATTTATAATATTAAAAAAAAATACAAACCCCTCGACCATAAGCAGTTCTAATATTACTGAACACAATTAGCAATTCTAAAATTGGCAATAAACTATTTAAAACACTCATTATCAACATATCAAAATTACTCTTCACTTCATGGAGGCCTAGATAAATAAGAAACACTATGTCTAAGAGAGGACGCTATTTAATGATTTAATAATTTGATCAACAAGTATTTTGTGTTTTCTGGCAATGTGTTATCAATACATTCTTTACAAGCACAAACCAAACTATATAGATAAGCAAAGTGACGTACGTCCACTTACTGACATTGAAGTGACGTCTGACGTACTTAAATACGTTTTGCCGTCTAGACTTCGCGCGAGCGTTTAACAAAAATTAGAAAATCTCGTACATAAGCACCCATTTTTTTGTGTATGGGTTTATTAAAAATTGTAATCGTTGAAGAAAATTTCGATGTTATTATTTTAATGAATTTTTTTATTTCCTAATGTAGGATTGAAATGGCTAAAGAACTTTTCAAATCAGTCAAGTAGTTTCGGAGCCTATACAATGGAAAGAAAGTCAAATCTTTCCTCTTTATATTATTGGTATATATATTAATAGAGAACAAGTGTGAGCATTTGTTCTCTATCAAGAAGCTTAATTTAAAGTTAGCTTTTTAGATTTCTAACTACTTCTTCAACATCTTTTCGCTTACGATGCGTAATCTGTCTCCTTAATTCATATATTCCATATTGCTGTCTCAACGTTAATAGTGTCTTTTTAGCAAAAACTGGCAAAAAGTATATATATTATAGCAGTTTAAGTTTAACTAGCTGTCAACCAACCAATATCTGCTTTGTTGACATATTGTATTCATGATATTAATTATTATTGCTGTATGTAATATAGCATGTATATTACCTAAACTAGGTTTAGGTAGTAATGTAGTATATACTTAAAAAACCATTTTAACTTACAGAAGGAGTATAATAAAAAACATTAGCACTTTATACTAAATTTATTATATTCACAATATAGAATGAAACTTTTCCATCCACACATTTGCATAGCTCTCAATATTACATTAAGATTCGCGTGTGTACTAGTTCAGCTAAGCATTGAATGAGTTTTGAAAAAATTGAATAACATTCAAAAATTTTCTAAGAAAGTAATTGCTTCCAATTTTGTTTTATTAAATTTTCTTATATTTTTTGTTGATATCTTATGTCCATTGTTGTGCATTGACACAATATGAGAATGTAATTTCCTCAGTATTAAGGATTTCATCTTTTTCAAGTAACTGTTGTTTGGTTTTGCTTTTAAAATTTTCCTGTGATAGGTTACGAGATCTTGTACTGAAGTATTTTGAGGACTCGTCCTTATTTTTTCATTGACAGTATCAGCAGCAGGAACAGTAACTTGCTCCTCATTATTAGATTTATCTGCCGCTTTATTGTAAAAAAAGTTACTATTACTCTTGACAGTATTTTCCATAATTTTATGTTTCACTTTAAATTGACTCTTGTTTCGCTTTTTAGCCATAGAGTTTGTTTTATTGTTAGTTAAATCGAAGTATTTTTGCAATAGTTGTGAATAATCACTTCTTTCGGCGGCTGTAAAAATACAGTGATAATGTTGTCCGATTTCTTTACGCATATCTAGAGGAACAGTTTTTTGATTCGACTTTGTAAGTTTCTCTTTAATGTACATTAACTCATTTACATGTTGAGTACCGTTAGCAAGACCAGCTTGGCCTAGAAGTACCATATTTAGTTTTTTCAGCATATATTTTATGTTGTTTCTATTGTTAGAGACTTGTTCATGACTTATTTCTTTCTGTCGAAGCAGTTGCTCTTGACGACTTTGTAGGTACGTCAATTCCTTATAAAGAGTCGTAGGGTCACCCAAGTAACTTTTGAGAGACTCTAGGGCTTTACTAATAACTCCGATGGCTTTATTCCTATATTTAGGTATCAAACTTAATATGAGGTTCGTATCATCAGTTTTAGGGTTCTCTTTATATGTTGTCCAATCTCTAAGTTCCGCTTGGAAAGCCTCCTGATCAGCAATTTTACCTTTTATATTTAAAAATAAATTCATATCGGAACTTTCTATAGTTATATTACATTTTATCAGTGCTTTATCTAACCATTCTTGGCCATCCTTCGTTTTAAGTTCCTCTTTTACTTTCTGAGTGATATAGATTCTCGCAGATGTTATTATATCACTTGTGTCAGACACTTCATTGTCTTGAATCATTTGACCCTTTTTGTCGCGGTTTGATGAAAAGATGGGTATATAGTCAGGGGCTTTTTCAATAGTAACACCCGGTGGATTAGTGACGGCTTTGTCACTATTGTCGACAGTCTCCTTTCCTTGTGAGTTCTTCCTTGATCCTCGGTTGCCTATATTATTTTTGTTGATGCTGCTTGGTTCTAGACTTTCAGATAAAGAGTTCTGCTTTTTCTTCTTACTAACAGTCTCCTGCGAACTTGGCGATTTCGACTGACGTTTATTTCGATCACTCCTACAAGTGTTTGTAGGTAAAGAGATGGTTGAATCTTGAGCGGTTTTATGGGACTGTTTGTTTTTCTGATTGTTATCATGTTTCGAATTGTCCGTACTTGTGGGCAAGTACAAGGGACGATATTCGGACACGTAGGGAGAATTTATTGGGAGGCTAGAAAATGGTATTGAGAAACGACAAGTGTGGACGAGGTGACCACGGCGCGTGCAGCCACTGCAATACATATGATAGCTCTTTTTCGTCTGACGGTTTTCTTCTAGAGGTAAATTAACATCCACCTGAAAACATATTATATGGATGTTAAAGCGGATGACAATTTGATGAAAACATGACTTTCTAATATTAATTACATTAGTTTTTTTCTTTTACTCTCTTTTAACAGCAATCAGTGCTTGAACAATAAATAGATCTTTTTAATGTTGCATTCACCCTTGCTGGGAAGGATTACTTCGTTTTATGCGCTTAGAGTTTGAATGATGTAATTTCAAAAAATACATATATAAAAAGAATTATACTATACTACAGGTAAATTGAGAAATTTTATTTTTCTTATACCTATAAACTAAAAAAATCTTTTAGACGGTTAGTTTCCTGGGTGTAAGAGCTTATAATCGGTGAGGTAGCACGTCAACTCACCGTATTATGGTAGCGACGCCACGTGTCCGGACAGTGACTGGCCGGATGGCCGTGTTGCCCACACTCCGCACATCTAATTCGACCCCAGAAGCTGCAGTTGCGGCACATTGTCGAGTACAATTGGTTTGGTGCCCCACACTGTAACAAAATGATTTATTTATTTATTTTACTGAAGAAAACTAATATTATTTATATAACCTTAAAGACTAACATAGGATATAAATTAATTTCTATGAATCAAAGCAATACTGTCACTATTTTGCAGAGTTTCAACAGTATCTAAAACACAATTGTTTTTAAACTAGACTGCCCTATTCTGATGCACTTGGTGGGACAAGTGATACATTAAGGGGTTGTCCCACATTTCTTTATTGCGTAACATTGGTTAATCAATTGTTCTAACAAAATGGACTATAGTTGGATTTACTTCCTCTTGAATCTCTTTATCTATTGCTACAAAAATGTATTAAAATTCGTTGGGTGGTTTTAAAGACTCTAAGTGAACAGACAGCGACAGTGACTTCATTTTAACTATGTAAAGATATTGAAAGGTACCTCTTGGGGTACCCAAGAGGTAAAATTGGGGGTAAAAGCTATTATTACACTTAGTGAGAATTAGTAATTTCACACTGGTCTGCTAAACTTAAAAAATCATTTATTCAAGTAGGACATTTAAGCTGCTTTTATGAATCTCAAATGTTTCATATTATAATTTTTTAACAGATCCAATTGAGAAGAACTGGCAAGAAACTATATTAAATAACTTTTTTTTATATTACTAAAAATATAGATACTAGAATTATTTGTGTTTAGGATATTTACATTGACACATATTTTGCTTGGGCACCGCGGCTCGAAGTGGCCAGTGGAGCCGCACATGTAACACACCGCTGGCTTCATGCGGCAAGTATCGTCACGGTGGCCTGCCCGGTTGCAATAGTGACATCTGAAAATTACAAACAATAGTATCAACTATAGATTTTTTTATATTAAGAACTTTAAAATTGTCTAGACCTTTTACTATCCCACTTCAAATTACAGACAGATAATACACAAAAGTATTTAATATTTGTTTTTTAAAATTGGCTACAGATTTTTTGGTAACATTTTTAACTAATTCTGTTTTTTAAATTCATTTATCATATTTTTAAACTTGTATAAAATTCATCTCGTTAAAACATTTATATCATAAATACCTGTTAATGCAACTCATCTGTGTCTCATCTGTATGGAATTTAGCTTTTTCTTTAAAATAAATTAATTTTCTAAAATAAATCAGAAATAACTACTTATAAAACTATTAGTGAGTGAAAGTGTCCACAAAATCAGAGATTAGCAAGAACAAACAAACAGATAGCCAGATATTTTTTTATGTACGTATATACTCGTACCCATATATTTCACAGGGATGTAGTAAAAACCTGTTGATTTGAAACTATAAACAGACACTTTAATTTATCTGTATAGATATCATATTATTTGGTACCTCCGCTGGTTGCCCACTTCATGAAGGTGCAAAATACACGTGTAATACAATTATTTAATAAATTAAACAACAGAGTTACTTACGTTACTTTTTTTCTGTTGTTTGCTAGTCCTGGCATCCGGTCCTTGGCATCTATCATCCATAAACTTTTATCTTCTGTAATGAAATCAAAATTATTTGAAGATTATTGCATTTTTTAACTAATACATTAATTTCAGTACAGTACAGTTTATAAGATATTTTATTTCTGCATTGTCAGCATGGTAAAATAATATAAATATTATTTCTTGCCAGTTCCTTTCAACTAGCAGGCTAGCAGAATTCCACTGTACCCCTACAGTTGAGAGGAATATTCATAAGATTGACATTTTTATTTAGTTTCAGAAGTAAAAGAAAGGAAATGTCCTTACTGAATAAAGGATTTTGTTTAATGAGATATTGTCACCTCCACAATTTTGGTTGTAACAAAATGTCCCATTGCAACAGCAATTACAAGAATAATTCTATACCATACCACTTTGGCAGGGTGGCAATGTTGAAGAGATCAGTGCTGATCTGTGAAGTTCCAAGTAAACAGTAGTTTTTTTAGTTTTTTGCTACATGTCCAGCATGTCTAACATTGTATTTGTTTTCTGTTGTCATCTGCATTCTAGACAGTATAGAAATAATTACTTACTTGACATATGCTTCTGAATTTCTCTATGGTTGAAATCTTCTCCACCCCAGCTTTCATTATAGAATTTCTGCATCTCAGCACGCAGAGTTGTTAGAGAGTATTTCCTTCTTTTGCTGATCTTATCGGTACCTTTTAGATTGTCAAAATCAAGGTTGTCATATAATATTGGAGGATATTTGGTTGACCCATAATTAGGAATTTCATTTTTAGAGACAGGTTCATCTGAATAATCAGATGATTCCTGGAAGCCTGACACATTGGCCATGACTATACACTCAGGTATATCTGCTGTATCTAACATGATTAAATCATCACTATCGGTCAGATCAACAACCACATCTGCAGATTTATTGATATTAGGTGTACTAGAACTTTCTTTAGTTTTTGGTGGCTCCTGTTGTGGTTTTACTTGAGGTTTCTCAAGAGTTACATTGCTGTCTGAAGTTGTGGAATCTTTAACAACATTATTATTAGGTTGCACATTCTCTTTTACTATATCTGATTGATTTGAGTCAGATTCATAGACATCAGCATTTGGTAAGCTCTTCTCTGACACAATAAACGAATTCTCATTTGTTTTTACATTGGTGACAGACTGATTACTGTCTGAATCATAAACATCAATGTTTGGTACACTTTTCTCTGTTACAGTGTATAGTTTTTTTTGGTTTTTATGTTTAGCCTTGCTTTTTGGTGTCGCAAAACATTCGTCTGATTGGTCTCTTTTGCTTTTATCCAAGACTGTAACAGGTGTTGATGTAGAAACAGATTCCTTTGATCTTTTTTTTTTCTTTTTTTTAGATGACTCTTGACCCAGTAGGTCAGAACCATGGAGACTGAAATCAAAACTATGATCATGTGGTCTTCGCGATGAAATGTTTAAGGCAATACAGTCTCCTCGTATAAATTCATCAGATACAGATGACACTACTGATGGAACGGGGCTAGCAGATTCTCTGTCGCCATTACTTGCTGACTTATATTGCAAATTTTTATCTTGTTCCTTTGTTGGTGATTCAGAGTTTGTGATAATATGGAGTTCATCTTCATCAGAGCTCTCTATAGTGATAGTTGGTTTTGGTGGTAATTTCACCTCTACTACTTCATCCTCATCACTCGATTCAAGTACAACAGGATTATGAAGGTCATGATGTAATATCTCAATAGTGCTTTTTATAATATTTGGTGGATTTTTGAATATTGATAAATCTACTGATGATGAATTATTTGAATCACATTTCTCTTCTTTGGGCTTTTGATCATTTGTAGCAAGTGGTTTTGGTGGTGTATTATTTTCCTTTTGCGGGTTTACTTTTTCATGTATGTTAGGCGAGTTCTGTTCATTGCTGGTGCGCCAGTAACGCCGTATGGTACTCTGTGGTGTGATATCTACGATTTTTACAGTTTCATTCTCTGTGATGGTCAAGTTAGCCTGAGTCTCATCCACATGATGTAGCATAGCATATAATCGTTCCTCCAATTCATTTTCGTTTAGTTCCTGTAAATTTGTTTTTGTTATTGTTGTTGCTATATTAATATAGTAAACAAGCTGATGCTCACTGACAGCACCACAGACATCACACTGACATGTGACACCACTTGCAATTCCGAAGTACTAAGGTCATGCCTTTATGTTGTCATGCCTCATGGACTCTGTAATTTCACTGCCATATATTGTATTGCCACTTTAAACGGAAAAATGGCATACAAAACAAGCTGTTAGACGGCTAACATATAATATGGTATACATCGCTAAGATATAATATGGTAAAATAGCCATGCAATGTTTCTAGTCTGTTGTGACACAACAAAAATAGTGAAGTAACCTAGCAGTTATTGCACTTACCTCCTCCATATTTCCCCCGTAAATTTAAACTAAACAAAACACTACAAGTTAATAACATAATCGTGACTGTAACTGGAAATTAATGTGCTGCTAACATTACGAGTAAATAAAATGTGTTTTATTTTACTTTACAGAAAAATCCAACACGGACTCCATTTCGAAACTAAATTGACATTGACATTGACAGCTCTGATCAGAAACTATTGACATTCTATTTTTTTCTAAATTATGGCTCTGTATACTATGCATTCGCCAAAGATAGGCTCTAAAAAATGATATTATGGTTAGGTCCCAATAGGTTATCTTTGGGTTACCTATATTGGAATATACTATATGTAATATGACATTGTGTATTGTGTAACAACCAAGTATTAAAATAAAAAAAATCACAAATATGGCACTAAATCAAAAGTTTAAAAGGTTAATGTTGTGTAAATATTCTAAAGTCTTCAGGGTAATTTAGTGAAGTTTATTGTAAATAAATTTCTTGCCCATAGAGCTTAATTCCAGTACTCGGAGTTGATGCCGATACAAAGGGCTCGCCTCGAGGCACCAACCTGTAGGTATACTCTGCGGGTGGGTGCTAATTTTGTATTGCATACAACTTTAATAGAAACCATTTTATACAGTGTTAGATAAAACGCCTACCGGTACAGTTCAAATTGAGCTTTAATAACAACAAATATTTCGGGTAGACTAATATAAAAACTGTTTCCTTTCAAGAAGAAATTGTTAGTAATTAATGCCATTCTAGCAATGTTAGGTTGACCTCAACACTGGGAACCATCGTCATATATACCTGGTTAATTCGTCACGAGGGTGCGACTAACCTGACTTCATCCTCATCCTATCATCCTGTGCATCATTCCATCGCGCATACAAAAAAACGGCCCCACTGCCTCTGATGGAAACACCGGAGGCAAAATAAACTAATCCTCTTGGATTAGTGCGTTATGAAAACTCTGCTCATAATTAACTAAACGTCATATGTTGCGTTCACACCGTGCGATGTTGGCAGTTCATAATGCTTCATGACTATCTTTTCTAAGCTTACAGACGTGAATATATACATGAGTATTTTCGTTTCGTAAAAAATAATCACTAGTGTCTGTTTTAACTCGATCCCGCTCTCGGTCGTGCGGCGCTGCAATCGCTATCGAGTTTTACAGAATACCAATATACAATCTCATAGCGGATACAGCTTTCGATGTAAGTGATGCTTACAGAATAGATAGATGTAGAAGGGACTATAGGTGTAGGTGTATTTATTTTGATATATTAAACTACAAATAAAGGTGATTACAGAATTATATTTGGATAATCAGCACATGAAATTTTACACACCTTTTATTAACAATCTAACATTACAAGAGCTCTAATAAATAGATGTAGTCGTCATAAAGTGAGGTAGAATTATCACGTTATAATTTTTAGCCATCTGCAGACATGTTCTCCTATTTTCATAGCGGCGTCTCTGTAAATAAAATGATAGGCATACATATTAAACTTGTACACATAATACATAGATATATTTAACTTGTACACATAATACATAGACATATATAACTAGTACACATAATACATTTTAAAAATTTCAAAGAATGGTGGTTGACTCACTTGATTGTAGGTACATATGTAATTACTTCTGCTAATAGGCAAGTCTGGCTATTAGCATAATAAATTACACACTATACATCTAAGGTTGTAAAATAATATTTATCTACATTATGTGACATCCATAAATTATGACACATGTATTTCATGATTTTTGATGCCTTTTCCGTTTTTGTGTCACAGTTGGACACGTCACATATTCGACAATTTGAACTATTTTTGTTAATATTGTATTGGTGCTTATCTTACACTACTCGGGTGCACTATATCATCAATTGAAAAAATCTGAATACATTGGAATTTTAAATATGATATCACCTTTCCCAACCTTTTGTGATATAATGTCACACTTTATCGACTTTTTCTCTTCCGTTAACGTATTTTTTTATAGATTTATCATGTAATGCCTACAATAACGATATATGCTGGCAAGGTACTAATGAAAGATGAGCATGAAGTTAGATTAGTTAGCCCATCATGACGAATTCACTAGGAATTAAGCACGATGGTTTCCAGGGAGACCGCATGGAGGTCGACCCAACATGGTAAATAGCAATGGGATTACTAGGGGGAAGGTGATTGGTAGTAATGTGGATTCATGACCCCATTACTAGCACTGTACCATGTCAGGTTAACCTCCACGCGGTTTCCCCTGGAAACTATCGTGATGAATTCCTGGTGAATTTGTTAGGATGGGCTAACTGACTTGACCTCATGTTCATCCTATCATCCTCCACTGGTGCCACGCCAGCGTAAACCGTTAGCGCAGGCGGGTGCACCATTCCATTGTCATCCACTAAAAAAAAAATGGGATTACTATTCGTCATTACTAACAACGCCTTCCCCCGTATGACGTAGTTTATAGATGGCCCCTTATTTTGTCTCTTTCTTTCTACCTGATAGAAAATCTAGAAGCATTGTTGGCGGTGGTACAAGGCAAAAGAGCACAGAGCACTCGCTGCGCCGTCCGCTCAGCACCTTCACTGCGGTCTATCCATATAGGTTCACAATGAGAACTGGAACATAATATATGAAATATTTAAAAGAATGGATCTGATTTTATAGTTTATGAGGTTTCTTATCTCCTATGATGAATGAATGAATAAGTTGAATTTATGAATATATAAGTTGGATTGTCTTAAGATTCTAAGTTTGAATATAAAATGCTATGTATGTTAGTATAATATTTGGTAATAAAACATAATTCTGAACTCTGTTTCAAACCAATTCTAATACACTTTTTTGCACAGAACTGTATTTAGAACAGAACTGTGAAAAAAATACAGGTAACTAGTTAAATTAGACTAACGAATAACAACTGATAACCCTAATATAAAAGTTAATAATGATTATTGCCATAATTGAATAAATTGATATATGGCAGAATTTAGTTTTACAGCGACGAAATATTCAACACAATAATTATTACATTACAGACTAGCTGTGCCCGCGGTTTCACCCCCACAATAAAAAAATAGATAAAAATTATTAGGATATTAAAAACACAGAGTAATGTAACCAATTGCAGAGCTAAAATGTTGCTTGAATTAAATAATTATGTATTTTTAATACTTTTCAGCAACGTGTTGTAAACTGGCTTGTACAACCGCATCGAACGCAGCCCCGGCCGTGCTATACGCGCCGTTGTCCGCTCCCGCTCCCGCGCACGCCCATGCTATGCACCCTCCCGGCTTCACCATTACAGAGAGTTTCTCGAGTGTCTGAAATGTGAAAAAAGAACGAATTATAGATGCGTAACATTTGCTTTTATCAAAATTATATTACGATTATTGTTATTTTATTTAACATTTATCTATGGAGTTTGTACTACTGATTTTGATTGGTGGCCAGTTCTTTTTGGAAACAAAATATTTACATTGAATGTTTGCTGTGCCTGCGACTTTGTCTGGGTGTTATAGTGACCTTGGCCAAATAAATTCTAGGCTGTTTACCAAATTTAACTAAATCAATACACAGAGTTACTTTCGCATTTATAATATTAAATAAGGAAGTAAGGATTATGAACTACACTCGATAATATTTTGAACTGATGATAGATTACAAATAGCGTATGAGTCTGTAATAGTGTAATATTCTACATGAATAAAGTTATGTGTCTGTAAGACATTGCTTTGAGCGAAAAGGCCGTCTTTTGTTGACATATTTTTATATTAAGTTCTTTTTTTGTAATTTTGTTTTTTATGCTCAATATATAGAGTATTGTTATTTTGATATAATTTGATTTAAAATACTTACTTTCAAGTTATTATACACGTCCTCCGACACAAACTCGGCCATGCCGTTCAAACATTCCGTTCTCGGCACAGCGCCAATCACTACTAGAGCGTCCACTCTGGTCACGGCTCCGCTCCTCGCTCCATCCAGGATATCTTCTGTCGCCAGCTTAACAGCACAACCCCGAGATTCTAGTTGTGTTTTTAAATTCCTTCCTAATATGTTATCGCTGTTTGTGATCTGTAAATAGTAATACAAATTTGATATATACATAGAATATGTTTCTTTTGCATTATATATGAAAAAGAAAATAGATACATTTAAATTCCTAGGTACAGGGTACGGTAACTTCGTCCCATCTCTCCGTCCTCCGTCTCACCTCCGTCAACTTCTACTAGGGCCGAGGTCCTGATGAAATGGGGCCTGCCCTAAACCTAAATATGTATACTGAACTGGACGGTAGAGAAAATAAATTGATACAAAAATCTTGATTTTCATAAGGGGCTAAAATGTCCTACATGAATAAATGATTTTTCAATTGATTTGAACGGGCTAATATCGCCGCACTCGCTATAAAATAGAAACGCGACCTCGTTAACCCGGCAATGACATTCATAGCTACACTGTGTTTTATAGTTCGTAAATTTCCATACATCTCGCGTTATCTCTCCGGCAGGGTAACGGTTTTTTGAAACCCTTCTGTTCGATCCTTCATCCAATTCAAACGGGGAACGAAATTACCCCTGAGCCGAGGTTTGAACCCCTAGCGGTGCCAGAATAAAGTCGTATCGGTAAGGCCTTTAGCAGCTCCATAAGTCCTTTTGCGGATTTGGAGTGTCATCTACAGTCGCCCTCTATTTACCGGTGAAACTGTAAAGGCTGCTAACTAGACCGTTAAAGTGTTAAAGTTAATATTTTTCCACATTCAAATTCGTAGTTTTGAAGTTGGAACTGCCTGACTTAATTGGTTATTAGGTCACTATACTATTATTAATAACGGTAAAAATTTACTTACAAGAACACTATTTATAACCCTCCTTCGGCGCTGTGGTCGTTTAGCGAGCCTTTTTCGAGCAGTATACGCAAGCAGGGCCGACGTGGCAAGTAGAAATGATCCACCCTCTAGGGTAGCCAGCAACCGCCAAGCCAGCGCCGCACCACCCACCACCGCTTCTGTCATTGTCTGAAACAATAAACAGTGGTACTTGTAATGTCTTATTTTTAGTTACGAGTGTATCCTTTTTTTAAGTAAATTCTAATAATATTATAAAAGCGAAAGTTTGTGAGTATAAACTACTGAACTGACTGACTGAGTATAAACAAATGAATAAAACTACTGAACGAATTTTGATAAAACTACAGTAATATAGACATCAAAGTAACAGATAGGCTATGATTAAAACAATATTACGTAAATTGAGCGAAATATAATGATAAATGTCAAGTCTGATGCAGACGAAGTTACGCGGTTCAGCTATATGGTACTAGCTAATACTATACAAATATCTCAGGACAATTCACACAGCACTATTTGCTCCTAAGCTAAGCAAAGCTTGTATCATGGATACTAGATAACAGATATAAATATATATATATATATATTATGTTATCTGTGGAAATATACAAAGAAAATAACCAGATAGATGAGGAAGGACTGATAGACTGCAAGGAATCGAACCTACGATCATTGAAAGCAAGGCGATATACTAAACCGTTAGAATACCGAGGTCGTCGAAATTTAGCATAGCAAACATGTTGATCGCCCGCTTCATGATAAGTGGATTACTAAAATATCATCCTCCATATGCTGTAGTTCTACTGCCTTATCTAGATTCTTCAACCGAAATATAGGATACAATGCAAGCTGCTTGCCAGCTGAATTAGGTGAGGCTAAAATACCTCTAAAGATGATAATATGAGCCGGTTTCAAATTTGATGAATTGATAAAAATACAATATCGTGAAACTCTAGTCATTTGTCATTTTTTCCGATCCAAGGGCTTTCATTCATAAAAATATTACGGTAATCAAATAATTCACAAGTTTTAATTAAAAATATAGCCTTAGCATGTGCAAATTAACATCAGTAAAGTAACACTAATGAAAACGGTTTGTTATTGATGTATAACGAATCAAGAAATGCAAAAAGAAAAACACTCTAAAAAAAACTATATGTTGACTAATGATAACATTTTTTTAAAACTTTAAACAACAACTTCATTATTTTTTTATTTTCTTAAATAACAAAAAACAACAACCACGCGCTGGTATCTTGGAATGTTTAATGCTGGCTGGTATTTTATTGTATAAAATTTATAATGTTGTCATCTTTGCACATTTCCTGTCCTTTACATCTACTCATATTATACAACATCATGTGCTGTGTAATGTTTAGTGTTACTTCAAGTTAATGTTAAAACAAATGCCTAATTTAGGTCACACAGACATTAAATATTTAATTTATTATGTGCCTATTTATATAAACGTGTTAAGCAGCAGTTATTTAAAATGTGTGAGAGCAAACATATTATTTTATTATTGACTTACAAACTTGTGTTGTTGGAGAAATATTATGTAATAATACCTAAGTATGATAAAAATCCATGTTTTAGTTTGTAAGAGAAGAACTTTTGTTTGAAAGGATAAGAAATGAGAATCATTTTGTCTATATTTTTCTTGGTTTGAGATTTACACAGTGGCCCGGGCGCTATGCGCTAGTACATAACTTTATTTTTAGACGTTCATTTATATGTATATATGAACATTTTGCTAATGTTCATATGTTCATATCTTATAATATTACAAATGCGAAAGTATGTGAGTTTCGATTCTTTTCTTTCATGCAAAAACTACTGAATATATTTTGATGAAACTATCCTATTGTAAAGTTACAGCTATACATCAGAATAACATATGAACTATAAAATTCATGGGGGTGAAATCCCAGGCACAGCTAGTATACATATATATGAACATTTTGATATGCTCATAAACAACGACATGGAAGATAAGTTTCATCATCAAAAATTATGTAAAAAAATATTTATTAATAACATAAAAAAACGACCTTCTATCTAGATTGTAACGTTTGGTTATTAATAAGAGATTGAGCAACGCAGATGATCGGTCCACGCATATTGATCATTAATGAATGGGAAACAAGATGCAGAAAGATTACATTGTATCAAGTAGTACATATTGCTTGTAAGTTATCTTAACTTTTAAGTTACGTTAAGAAGAAAAATATTTCGACGGGTTGAGGGCACTAGGCCCATTGGATGATTACCCATGCGATGGACCGACCAAGTCAAAGCAGTGTTAGGCGGTCCACTCCACGAGTGTACCAGAATGTCAGCAAGTGGGGAGAAATAGCGAGCTGACGTAATCCGGAAGATATCTGCCTCTCACTCCACTACATAATGACCACGACCATTCTGTTAAGAGCATATCGAATTAGAAGAAGAATGACAATAGAATCATCTCTAAATTTTATCTAACATTCGATTATTTAACACTATACTTGCAGACATAACGATGAGTTTTTTTTTCCTCCTTTATGAGCTTTGCTTGAAATATCCTTATATTTCTATGTAGGTATATTTCCCTAACTTTCATATGGAATGGAATTTTTAAAGGAAAAAGGATTGGTTAGGGTTATGATTAACAAGTTAAGTTACAATATAATGGATATATATGGATACATTTACAAGGATGGATTGTGTGAAAGATGATATGAATAAAAGAAGAGTATGCACAGATATGACGACCGATAGAGTTCTCAGTACAATTTTTACCAAAGGTAGATTGTAAAAAGTACTCTGCGGGTGTACCTCAGTCTCACCTATTTCGGCCGTCAAATGTAGGATGTGTTTATGTTAAAGGGTGAGTAAAAGCTGTAAAATTTGAGATATGAGATTGTAACTGTAGCGTTATATACGACGAGGTGTTGCTACATAATATATTATTTATTGTAAGTAGTGAGTATACCTCTATTTAGCACAAGTAACAATTTTTTTACACAAAGGTAAAGCTTATTAGTAAAAAGTAGACTGATTTTATTTGGAGAGGTAAACTAATAGAAGTGTGCAGAGTGTTGACAGAAATTTATTACAAGGGTAGGCACAAGATCGTAGTCAGTCAAATGATAAGGATAATGTGTTTAGCGCTCTTGTGTGTATAATATGGGCCCGATGGTAAATTCCCATCAGCAGGTATAAATTTGCCATTTGAATACGGAGTCTAATATTTAGCATATTATAACTGTATGGCACAAACATTTATATATGAATATGATTGTTGGTCTGGTTTCTATGTGTATAATGTATAATGTATCTAATTAATTAAAGCTTGTACCCACAACACATATCTTAGATAGTGTGATTTGAAGTTGTGTTAGTTGATAGTCCAGGAAAAAAAATGCTTAAAAAACAACATGATGTCAACAATTAACAATGTCTGGGATAACAAACGTGTCGGTATATTTATTTTATTATATTCAAACATTCCGTGATATACTGCATCCTGTTCTATTTATATTTAATTGTATTGATATAGTCAAATTACGACGGAAAACATATTAATCGTATTTGCTATAACAAAATGATGTTAAGTAAATCCGAATACTGAGTTAGTGAGAACAAATAAAACTTTTTATACAACTGATAATTAAATATTTGTCATCTTTATTTATACCACATCCAGTATGAAATATAATCACAATTTCTTATTCTATTATAATTTGACCATGGTTGACTTTGCGCAAAATCGTCCGAATAAAAATAGAAATAATCTTTATTCAATTAAATTTAATACTTATTTTGAATAGTCATATTTTCTACTCTACTACCAATATTATTTCTTACTAGCTATGTCCGCGACTTTGTCCATGTGGAATAGTGACCTTGGATAGCTTTTTTATTATTTTGGCTAATTATTTTACAAATAAGACACATATATATATAAATACTTTAATAAACTTTCATCCCTTTTATATATACTTTTAGAGACTTATAGTTAAGATAATATTACATACTAATATTATATACGCAAAAGTTTTTGATTACGGAAGTATGGATGGATGTTTGTTACACTATCATGCAAAAACTACTAAACGGATTTTGATGAAACTTTACAGTAATATAGCTTATAAATCATAATACCACATAGGCTATAATTTAAAACGATATTCTGTAAAATGGACAAAACATAATTAGAGATGTGATATATATATGTATATTTTGCAATTTTCCATATATAATATTAGTATAAATTTACGAATGTACCGGCCATTGACCTACTAATATATCGTAGTTTAGTTTGTTGAGGTCAAACCCATTATTTTAGTTTGCTTTCGATAATAATCTTCACCAAGGCGAATACATACTTATTATATTCGGATTATGTTACGAAACGTGTTCGGAGATTTAGACTCCACGCGGCTGGAAAGTAAACGACATTTATATGTTTTGAAATAAAATTGTTTAAATTATATTTATTTATTTGTTTATTTTGGGGTATTATTGGTGTATTTGAACAATACTATTTTATCTGTGATTTGCACTATTGCTACACAACTCCATCAGATATGGTGCAGCAATGGTCACGTACAAACAGTCCAGTCAGTCCGTTAACAGACTGTCTAAATTATTGTCATAATGTGAAATAACTAAACTTTATTGTCCAGGATACTGTTACTGTTACCTCCGATGGATAAAATGAATAAATCATGTTATTGCTATTTTTAGTGGTACATGATCATAATCTTATTAAGAAGAAGAGATCGTTAGTTACAGCAAATGCATAAACAATTATTTAACATTCATTAAGAAAATCTATAATTGTATTAAGTAATTTTAATAGGTATAGTAATTATAAAAATTATTAGATTTATAAAATAGGTTATATTATATAATTAAATTAAATGAAGATTTGTAGCATGCAGTATTGTTTAATTGCTATACTAGATGACTCGTACGCCTTAGGAGGTCAAGGCGCTCGTTGATGTCTTTTATATAGAATTGTGTGTTTTTTACAATCTCAGCTAAATGAATACTAATGATGCTACAAACTTATAGAACAATGTATACAGAAGTCATTTTACGTTTTATTTGTGGTATTCAATTCTTTTTTTGTTGTATTTTGGGCACTTTTGTATTATTTATGCTTAATTATTTTTGTATATTAT